CCAACAGATTAACATCTTAAACTTATTCGTAAGCGCTGACGGCAAAGAAGGGCAACAAGGATATCTAACACATTGTCCACGTGGTCAACGGGCTTCATATTTATTATAAACGTAAACTTCATCTACAATTCTTGTCTCTACACTCCAAAAAAGGTAGTCTGTTTCTGTTTTTACTGTGCACGTGTAGATGCTGAGTGTCGAAGGCACTACTTTGTCACAGCATCGCTCGAGCTAGTTAGTGCCCATTGACCGCCGTCTCTTGAGTTGAAAAGCTAGTCACTCGAGGCTACTAGCCTCGTATAACAACAAACAACCCCATCTTATGATGTACATTCGGACCAAATTGCACCTTTTGACGGACCCATCTGGTGTCGTTCGTCGGCCTGGATAGGGTCAGCATTACCAACAGTATCCGCTGATCTATGTCTCTGGCTCCTCTCAAACCATAGTCCAGTCAGTACTCAGAATGCAGCAGAAACAGACTGGGCGAGTGCTCACTCTGGCTCTGCTGGTCTTAGCTCCTAACAACTTTGCTTTCACAACGTTGTCGTAAATAAGCTTTTGCGAACGAGTAAGTTGACTTGGCCACGGTTTAAAAAACTTCAGTAGAGCAGCATGTGGGCATCTAGCAGCATGACGAGCATGAGTGGTTGCAGTGAAAGTTTGCGAGGGATGCGATTGGAACGCGACCCTGACAAGAGACGATTAACCATCACGCAAGGACCGGACGATGTAGGATCAGCTGGATGCACCATAGAGCTATCAGACCAGGACATTGTCACGGACCTTTTGGGAACATTGCCTAAGCTGAAAGCTGCTGTAGAGGACTACGAAAACAAAGCTCCAAATTGGCTGCGCAAGTCGAAAAGAGGTGATGCCGTGGAAATTTACGAGCTCTTGCCGACTCGGGATGGCAAGGGAGACGATATGGACATTGTACATTCAGTGGTAGCGACGATTGAGATCGAATGCCATTTTAACGAGGTTTTAAATGTACTTACAAGTCATCACACAAATCGTGACTTGGAAGCGTCGATGCAAGCCCTTATCCCCAAGAAAAAAGTTCGACAGGGTGAAGTATTGCTACAGCCTCATGCCACAACGCTCGACGGATCTCCGGTCAGACAAACTGGAATTAAAAGGTCTTTACGCGGAGGCAGGAGTGTTAAGTTTTACAACACGTGTATACCAGAAGGGGAAGAGGAGGACGCTGGCGCAGAGCGTAAAGTGCTCGTAAGTGTCAGTATGACACGCTTCAAGTCAAAACGCCGGATTGATCTCCAAGGCCGACTTCGTAATTGTCACCAGCGGCTACAGAAACTTTGTCTAGCAACACTTACTCATAAGTTTGCGGGCAACCAGCGCGCCGTGCACGTGATCAAGACCCTTCCTCGAACAGTACACGACCAGCTTGCTCCCGTTGAAGAGAAACACCAGAAACGGTCTGTTCTTGGAAGTAGTTTGCGAGGACTGGACCATATTTCAGTTGGTTTTGACATTCAGACAAGACATGTCCATTGTGTTGGCGCTCGAGGTGCTGCGCAATCGACTAGGATTATTGCTCACGGATATGCTGCTGTCACTCCTCCGGAACAGTTTGGTCAACAGCAACAAAAGACAATGACAACGTATAGTCCATCGGAACTAGCAAACTATCGCTCATCTCACGTGAACGCTGAAGCCAAGCACGTGATTGAGCTTTTAACTACTTCATTGCAGCAATTTGAGCGTGTGATTCGGCGCCGCCGACTTGGTTTGCAGACGTTTATTAAAATTAAGCCTGGCGATCGAAGTGGCGGTGACCCCCAAGGGTTCCAGACTTGCGAATTTTGCAACAAACGCTTTTCACTACTTCGACGTGAACTTTACTGTCAGTTGTGTGGCCATGTGTGCTGTGGTGATTGCTCAAAGCTGTACGAGGTGGAGACTAATGTTGGAGACGTTAGTAAAAAGCGTTTGTGTGTGCGCTGCATTACTAATGTGGACTCTTGCGTCTTCGAAGACGAGGACATCATGACAGCTCTGGGTCCTGCAGTGATTGACGACGATTATGACTATGATTACGACAGCGATGAGTGCGAGTATGCCTATAATCGTCGTGACGAGAATGAAACATATGCGAGCGTGGGGTCCACGGTCGCTTGCTCTGAATTCGAAAGCGGAACCAATCTTGATGATGTATCGACAGAGCTTTATTCAGTAAACGCATTGGACCGCTCAATGGCTCTACAGACACTCGGACGGCTAGTAAATTCACAATTCCATGATTCTGAAAAGCAGAGCTTGTGCGAGCGATCTCGGCTGGCCCAGTTGCAACCTTGTCACTCGCAGCTCACGCAGAGTCAGCTTAGCCAATCGCAGTCACAATTTGAGCACCCCCAGAAGCTGATGCAGTCGAATTCGCAATTCCAGAAGTCTCAACTTACTCAAAGTCAGCTCAGTGTGTCCCAATTCATGCAGTCACAGCATACACAGTCACAGTGGAGTCAGTCACAATCGAAGATGCAATTTCAGCAGTCTCAGCTTACGCAGAGTCAGCTCAGTCAGTCACAGTCTCGACTACAATTTCAAAAGTCTCAGCTTACGCAAAGTCAACTTAGCCAGAGTCAACTTAGCCGGAGTCAATTCAGTCAGTCTCAGTCCGCTTACACGCAGTCACGGTTCAAGCAACCTCACTTTGACGATTCAGTCGTAGCGAAGCTTCGTGCAGACGTTGAAAGCCATCTCAAACGCACGTTGCGAATGACGCTTGGAGACACGCGGAAGAGGTTTTCGGGGGCTGACGAGTCACAGTTTTCGGTCGCACCTATCGACCGCGATTACCAACTCGAGTTTGATGGCAGCCAGACCATGTCTCTATCCCACCCGTTGCCACCAAAACCCCTTCCAGCTCAAGAGCGAAGGCGATTGCAATACGTTATCGGCTCTGGAGCAATGAGCCCCACGTACGATCGAAGTGCGCTGAACATGCTTGCGCAGATTGCAGCTGCACACCTGCATTGCCCCATCGGGTACATAACAATGATCGACCCGTCAACGCAGTACGTGGTGGGGCTTCATCCTCGTGGTGCCATCCGAATGTCCATTCCTCGAGAGGAATCAATGTGCTCGTATACCATTTATCATGAACGTCCACTCGTAGTTAAGAATGCTCTGAACGACATTCGCTTCAGTCATATGGGCTTTGTGAGCCAGACCGGTCTTCGGTTCTACGCCGGGTTTCCTATTCGAGCACCCGACAACGCTGTGGTGGCCACGATTTGTGCGGCCGACTATAAGCCACATAAGTACATCTCCGCCAAGCAGTATGCCGAAATGGAGGCATTGGCAGACTTAGCAAGTACGCTCATAATCACCTCCGACACCGAGATCAAGACGGCCAAGCAGGATTCATACATGTTTCCACGATGGTAAGAAGATTTAGAAAGTACTGTGCGTGGATAAAATGCAATACATGCAACTTGAAATTAAAGTGCACTTACAGAAGACGCTCGGACATTTAAAGGACTGAAGAGCTGTAGTTTTTGTTAGTTGATTGCAGGATTCTTTGGCATCACTAGATCCGATGCCAATTTTGCGAGTGCTTCCATTGTAGCGTAGTCTTTTGTCGAAATGTTGTTGTGTGCTACAACGTCTACAGCACAGAGAGACGCGACCACTTCACCGTCAAGTCCGTGAACGGGGAATCCAACATAAAATTTGACGCCGAGACCCTTAATGCATGGCATCTGAGAGAAACGCATATCACGCATGGGGTTCTTTAGGACTAGCGGCTTTTCAGCGTACACGGCGTGAATGCAAACATTGTTGGTACGCGGCAGCGTAAACGCTTTTTCTGGAAAATTGTACGTACCGACGGCACGAAAGTTGTCACTGTCTACTACCGACACGAAGCCAATCGGGCAACTCAGACGCTTTGCAGCAATTTGAGCAATTAAGTCGAGGGCAACGCGGTCGTATTCTGGCTTCAATACTCCCATTTGTTCAATAGCTTCAAGGCGACGTGCTTCTTTCTTTGGTGCTGGCGTCGGAGGCATTGGGTGGTGTTCAGCTTTGGTCTTCTTGGCGTCAAACTTGAACACATAGTCGTGCTCTTCAATGCTTGCAACTGTGCACTGATGCGGTCTGCTGTAGCGTTCCTTCGTGGTACGCAGACTTTGACTCAGGTATTTCTCCACGTCTCCCTTTACCTGCTGGGCTTTCGTGGCATTTTTTCGGTCTTTGGATTTTATGCAAGGCTTGGCACATTTGGTGGTGTCTGGACTAGTCGATTCGTGCTCGTACGTAGTAGCCACGGAACTGACAAGTTGCCCAAGGAAGTCTAAAGCACGCGAGTTTTGATTCGGGTCGTCTGAGTACAGCTGATCTGTGATTTCCTCGACAGAACTCGATTCGGAAGGCATCGAGGCGGTGTCGCCGTCCTTATCCATTGCATCCAAGTGGTATTTGTCGTCATTGTACCAGAGTGAATCATCAACTCCAACGACAGCAGGACCTAATGCTCCCAGTAAGTCTTCGTCATCAAAGACACAAGAGTCTACACGATAGACACACTGAAGGCAGCATCTGTTGCGACGTAGTTCTCCAATAGAAGCTTCCACCTCGTAAAGTTTCGAACAAACTCCACACACCATGTGACCACACAATTGACAGAAGAAATCGCGACGAAAGAAGTGGAAGCGCTTGGAGCAGATTGAGCAAGCCTTTTCTAAAGATGGATCGTCGTAGCCTGTTGGAAAGTAAATGAACGTTTGGAAACCAAAGCGACGACGGCGCACGACTCGTTCAAATTGACACAGGGACTTGGTTAGCACGTTCAAAACGTGCTTAGCTTCCGGGTTCATAATACTTTCACGACAGCGAGTAGGTTCAGTAGAGCTCCATGACACGATGCCAGACATCGAGCTTTCTGACGACGTCAAGTTTGATCTGTTGATGGTCTCACCGAATTGTGGCGGTGGGACGGGCGACGCGTATCCGTGAGCAAAGATCCGTGTGATGTGCGTGTTGCTACCAGCAAAGACCTGGTCGTTATGCGTGCTCTGGATGTGGAACCCAACACAAATGTGGTCGAGCTCGTTCCGCAGGGCTGTGCGGTCGGATGTTGGGACCAACTGATCATGCAGCTCTTTTGGTAGAGTTTTCATGATGTGCACAGCGCGGTCATCGCGTAGATATTGCTGCGTGAATGTGGAAAAGCACAACTTCTGTGTCTTCTTGTTGCCTCCTAGATCCACTACCATTCGTGGATGCAACGTCGAAACATTAACGCCGATCAACGCTTGCTCTGGACCCTCTTCTCTCATATCCATGCGTGGCGCCACTACCGATTGGCGACGCAGGTTTGATGACAACAGTCGTCGCTGGCTGAAGAGAACGTCTCCTTTCTTGAATTTTTTGCCGGCCAACGCTTTCATGGTGCATTCGTACGCATTGGAATCATGTGTGATCAAGATATTAAGAACTTCGTTTAAATGGCACCGCAGTTCCGTCTTGGCGATCACTGCGTACGCAACGTCGCGATCTTCGTCTACAGCATCTTTGCCGGATGCTTCAGATAGTTCAAATAGATCGACACCGTGACGACGATTCCGTTGCTTCCAGCGACGACCGTACGTGTCTCGCGTAACAGCTGCATTGAGTTTAGTCACTGTAGCGACGATGTCGTCGCAGATCTCTTGGTCGGACATAACAAGCTGTTCCTGGCCATCGGGGGCCATTACAACTAGACCTGTTGGAGCCGAACCATAATATTTGGAGTAGGCGCTGCTTTCAACACGAGAGCTCATGACGACGAAATGTTAGGCAGCAAATTGCAAAGTGTTTGACCTGACAATCAATTGATGCGTCGATTGCATCATTACGTGTACTATTGCAATGCCACAGGTAAGTCGTGTGTAATCACAAGTCAAGTTGAAAGAGCTAAGCAGCTTACATTTGTTGGAACTAGCCACTACTTCTGCAAAAAGAACTATCAACCATCCGTAACTAAGTTCAGTGATATATTACACGTTTCATTGTTCGCTCATCAAGCAACATTTCATGCGCCTCATAGAGCAGTAGGACAAAGAGTTGATTCTGCTTGAAACACTTTGATGTCAACTTGGCTCTCAGTCAGCTTTGAAGCTCGCCAGCTTTTCCGTAAAAGCTTACACACGCGTTTGTACATGAAAGCACATGATCGAAAAAACATAAAGCTGGTGTCCAAGTTCTGTCTTTTTTTCTCATCCAACACACTGCAAATGTGTTCGGAGCGCAGTCATCGCATTTGGCAAGTCCTGGTCTTCTTCTAGTTCGTTTCTGAACCTTCGGCTTCAAAACCAATCGTAGCAATTTCACGATCATGAGTTTCTTTCCTCATGTGCTACATGTAGAAACCTCTCTGGTCATGAACGCTTGCATTCTCGACACAGCGCAGGGGAATGAGCAACTCGATGGTGAAATTCTTGCTACAGTACCCCGAATCGAGTGGACATTGCACGACTTTACGAGACCCAGCATGTGTCTGTCTACGCCTGAAAAGATCATGGCAAACACGACAGACTTCAATCTATTGATACCACTTACGTTGTAACAATATACTCATATACGTTCTTGTTAAGCATTACGCGCGATACAGAGTGATCCAAAACTTAAATCTTTGGCAAGAAATTCTTCGTATTGGTTAGTATCGGAGTTATCAACCTATTGCTGATTCAAAACACACGCATGTGGTAGTTTTGTGGTTCCATTTCCATGCCCCGTTTGACTTTCCAATGCGTTCATTGTGCCATTGTTCTCGCAGTTTTGTATTGTTGCAAATCTACGAATCCGAAAGCAAGGAGCGTTTTTTTTCTAACGTGTCTAGATGTTCATTATGGGTATCATCTATACGTTAAAGGAGTGATCCAAGTCGATAGGATCTTGGTTCCTATCGATTTGGATCACTCCTGTTGTACGGCAATTTGACGCTAACACCGTTTGTTGATGTCGATTGTGTCGATTAGCTTTTCAAGCGATAGTTCTAGTGGTTTGTTACAAATGAATTTATAAAAGTGAGTGTGCTAGAAATGATGTATGCAATGCGTGCCATATAGATGGAAACGAGACCATTGCGTTGTTGTTTAATTGCACAAGTGGTATTGGCTCGTTGATACAGAAAGGATTTAATGGTAGTGTTTCTACTTTTAACATGCAAATTATAGGATGATTTATATCTCGAGTCTTAGGTGAGGACATTGCTAGTCACTATTTACTGGCTCTATAGCCTGTTATTATTATGCAAACATGCCTAGTCACTATACTTGAAATAAGTATCGTGGCTCACTTGTTGCAAAATATCGTGATTGACAAAATCGACAAAAAAGACTTGAAAAAGGTTATTGTGAAAATTACAGTTCCCAATGTTGTCTTAGCAAAAAACAGATTATTACCTCTGCAATTGTAATTGTACATTCGTGGACTTGTTCCGTGACTGTCAAAAAGCATACTTTTAGAAATACTTTAGACAAAAAATTTGTCGCAATTTTGTGCTTTCCATACTTGAAATATCTTTAATACGTTTTTTTGGAGTCAGTCCATGGCGGAAGCAGCGCAGCTCGATGCCGTCTTGGCAGCCATGACGCAATATACCCCCACGATTCCGGATGAACTAGTAGAGTTTTATCTACACCAGACAGGATTTGTAACGAATGATACGCGAATGTACGTCATCTATCCGTCTTGACATTTGTACACGAGTTCTAATCTCTTTTCTCTCATAAAAAGCAGTATCCGTCTCATCTCTTTAGTCGTTCACAAATTTCTATTGGATGTAACACACGATGCAATGCAGTATCAGCGTATTCGATCACAAAATACGTCATCCGTGACCACAAGTACAGCTACAGCGTCGTTGACAAGTGGACAGATCCCTGATGGAACTTATACAAGTGGTAGTCACATTGTCCTAACGATGGAAGACCTTGCTGCGAGTTTGAAGGAATATGGAGTGAATATTTGCAGACCTGAGTATGTTAGTGATGTAGCATACGAGCCTACCATGTAAACGAATAGTAAGCTCGTCGTCGCAAGAAAACCTTGTTGTATTGCTATTGAGAGAGTTTCTAAAGCTCCAAGTAAGTAGTAAAAACACGCACGCACTCGTGTAATGATGAGCTTACAGGTCTTCATGTTCATCCACAGGTTCTTCCTTTTCAATCTTAATTCCTTTCTTCTTTTCTTCCGTCTTGACACTACTATCAGCATCTTTCAGAAGCTCGTCCATGAAGGTAGTTTTAGCGGGATCACTCTTAATAGCGTCGGGATACTTTTTTAACAGTCGTAAGAACATTGTTGGCTCTTGACCCTTGTACTTCGCCAACAATGCATCAATCGCTTTGTCTTCCAAATCCGCTTTCGGAGCCCCATTCTCTTCAAGAAAATATTTCAAACGCTCACGAGTGGCAGTAGCCACGGTATCAGTTGGTACACATTCGCATGCTTCTTTCTGTGCATCCTGGAATGCTGGACACGCAATCATCTAATACAATACCAAAGTCAGTGAGTCTCCATCGTATCACAACATGGAATTAGCCACATTATCTTTTAACATACATTAGCTCCAATGTAAAAGATTTTCGCAGCCGAAAAACATTCGCTGCGCTGTTCAGGATCGACCACCTCTTTGCATTTCGCCTTCATACATCGATGCAATCGCTTTTCACAAATTGCCTTGGACATGCCACAAATACTGTAACACTACACGAATCAAAACGAGTCGAATGAGCGTGGAATGTAACATAGAAATACAATAGAAAACCACCAGTTCTTGAGTATTCGTATCATTACCGCGTCGTGCCAATTGCAGCAATCTTGAAACTCCAGGGATGTACTAATGGGCATATCAGATGTACCACAGCCATTAGCTGTAAATTCAAAATCCCTGCAAAAAGAAATACACCATAACCAATCAATTTTGTCAATTTCACAATGTATCCATCCTCTTCGAACTTTTGCAAGATGGGTACATACTTGACTGGCGCTGGAGCTCGTTTTGGACGACATGTAAAGGGATCACATGGTTGACTGTAGCTGCTAAGGTCGGGAATATCATCAGTGGTAGCTTCACTACCGATCCATAATGCACAGCAGACTAATAAGAGACGAAGAAACACCATACTGCAAATTGAATAATGCGTGTAATATTACCGCAAAGCGTTTTTTACTGACACGTGTATCTGCGTCTAATTGAGTCAGGAGTAATGTGGTGTACATAAATAACCGATCGATAAGCCGGTAGTGGACTTTTAATATCGGTTATCGAGGACAAAACTCTAAAACTCTCAAATTCTCGATTTTTACAATGAAAAATACCATAAGGCGTACAGTAATTTTCAACTTACGCGAAAGTAAGAAAAATAAGGTCTTTTTTCTTCATCTTGTCGTCTTTCGACTGTCAAAATTCACCCATGACATCGGCATGCAAGTCGTTTTCAAACAAACTGTACCATGAAAAGTCTACTATCGTCACGATATGAACCGAATTCTGAAGAAACATTGTGATTCACATCAATTCCATTCTGCCATGAACCAAGACCTTTTGTTCGATTGCAATGCTTGTTCACCTTCATTATATAATAAATTAAATAACGCTGCAATGAAGACATAGCGAGCCATTAGTTTCTTGTTGTCAAACCTTTCATCTCCTTTCAAACCATTGAATTCGTCTGTCAAACCAACCCCTTGGTTCAAGCAAAGTCATGCAACATGCAACGTCATCACTTTGAAATGCTACAAGTTACATCCTTTGAGCCATTTTATCGTAGTGAGTGTTCAGTTGGGTCACTCTCATATATTAGTTCATCGCGAGCAATTGCAACGGCATCACTCTGAACGACTCGATGAATGCATTGAGAACAGAATACGCGTTTATTCTGGAGAATCGAAGAATGGTCAGGTAACATGACACAAACAAGTTTCTTGACGCAACAACGAGAGCACACAACCTGGTCACAGCTCTTGCAGAACTTTTTGCTATGAGGCAGGAAACTGAAGCTCTTGGTGCACACTTGACACGTTGAGGCAGTGCGTATCTGCTTTGATCGGGCTGGTGTAAGCAGTGGCGCGTCGATATCGTAGCTGTTTTGACGCAAATGCCACGCAAGCTTCTTCATTTGCGCGTATTGCATGTTGCGTGAGAACGACAACCACTGCGTGGCGATGTTCTGCAGTGCCAAAACGGTGTTTCCGTGAGTGTTCGTGGACAAGTCAAAGAATCCGCGGGTGTAGCATTCGACCGTGTTGTTTGCCTTCTGGTGGTAGAGTGAGCACACGGACATATTGCCACGTGCGATTTTGAGCTCTGCGAAAGCTGGCAATTGAGCAAAGCTGACCGAGTGCGACACGTTATAGCCAACACGCTCACCCCATGGGGTCTGCATCATGCCCGAGGTGTCGAGTGTCACGTAGTCACGACCTTCGTACAGACGCCACTGAAGACTTACGTGGTGAAACGGGTCATCAACGGTGGGGCACACGAGCTCCTGGAGAACTCTGCTATCGACAACTCCGTCTCGGATGCAGCAAGACTTTATTTTGAGAGATTCGTCCGTCGGTGTCACGACGGCGTACATGATGTCGTCTAATTTGCCGACCATGGAGCCCAAGAGTAACAGCGACGGAATTTGTGGTGCAGACTCACTGGCGGAATTCGGACGCTCTCGATAGATTCGAATGCCGTCTGCCTTGCGAGTTGGTTTCCAAACTCGACTGTCTGGATGACCGTCTTTTGTAAGACACAGATTGTTGTATTGCTCGAGGTTATGTGTGACGATCGTCGTCGCTAATTCCCGTAGCAGTGTTTGGTCGGACGGAGGAATTTGGAGAGATGGCAGGAACTTGGAAAATGGCCACAGGTTTTGGCATTGTCTCAGCTGTCGGAGGTGAATACACTAATGAGCGTCTCGTTACAAGACGGGAGTGTTCGTGTTTCATACAGCCCCGTCGTATTGTATTTGCAGTAACACCGAGTTGAAAGAGAGCTGTGGTGGATTGACCATGCCTCACTAAATGTGCCATGACGTGGCTGTTCCGAACTCTTGTTGACATGATAGATGACGACCTTCCGTTGTAATGCCACGAGTGGCTAGCTAGTCTTGGTCGGAACCAACTTGTGTTTCGATGTTGGCAACAATTACAAAAAGCACAGGGGTTGCAGCTACATCTAGTGGACTCAGAGCAACTAGTCATGAATCGAATGACTTATATGGCCGATATCTGACCTACTTCAATCCGTCAACAGACCGAGGTGCTATGCGTTGTAAGCATAGATCAAGTCTACTTACTGGCCAGTCTTCAAGACGTCAGCAAATTCCACACGAGAGATCAAGGCGACTGAACACATTATTTGGTTCATCATCTAAAGCAAGAAACGTGGCTGCTGCCTGTTGACCTCCTTCCAGACTGGTGTGTTAGTGATGCAGGACGTCAGCTTGTAGACTTTTGGGTATCCGGAAATGATTGTCAATGACATGCACTGCTTTACAACTGCAACAGCAACAAGTGAATGGCCTGACAAAAAAGCATTCATATTGAAAACGTCAAACGCATAAGCGCTCAACTCATAAGATGCTATGGATACAGGAGAAGATGCAAACAATAGCAAGTTGCTCGACAAACACTCAATCGAGAACTCACCGGGTCGAAGAAAGAATGGCGTATCGTCGTAAAAACAATCAGAGAAGAGTTCCAAAGCGGTCCGACCATAAATGATCCGCTACTACGACCGCTTAACTTGTAAGCACGCGTGCGGCGTCGGCCATGCTCTTCCAGTTGGTCTCACAGATTTTGATAAACGACACGACACAGCCGAAGAAAATACCTGCAGTGAGGCCGAGCCACATGCCTTCCACGCCCATGTCCATTCGAAATGCGAGGTACACGCCAAAGGGCAGACCAATCACGAAGTATGCAAGCAAATTAATATAGGTGCCAAGCAGAAGCCGTCCCGTGCCGCGAAACACGCCTTGCATCACAGCATTGATGGCATCGCACATCTGGTACGGCATTAGAAACAGCAGTGCGTGCTCAGCCATTCCGATGGATACTGCGTCGTTGATAAATATCTTCGGAATCAGATACCGTGTAGCAATAATGATGATTGCGATCACCGCCGACAAAGACACGGACAGTATCATACCCACCGTTGAGGCCATGTTCGCGTGATGTGGCTTGTTGCTGCCTAAGTAATTGCCCACAAGGACATTGGCTGCCACAGAGATGCCAAGGAAAAAGTTGAACGCAAACGTAGAAACGCTTACTAGTACCGAATGCACGCTGATAGCAACGACACTGCTAGGCAACCAGCCCACGAAAGCCGCCATAATCTCAAAAGACCACCACTCCAACAACATCATTGCGGCGCCCGGCAAACCAAGACGCAAAAAAGTGCCCAGGTGATGCACCGCTTGCTTCGCTTGCCAACCAGGCCACCATTCAGCGGGGATGTGCGGATTCCACATGAAATACGGAATTAAACACAATGGAAGCACCACCTCAGATAGCAAACGCGCGATGGCGGCACTGTCAAATCCGAGAGACGTGAAAAACGTGAGATAGATACCCAGTAGCAAATTCACAAGATTGCTGATCACAGCCATGTGTACCATGGGCAACACGACATTCTGGGCTTGCATCACCTTTTTCACCATCTCGTAGACGTACACGGCTGGAATGCCTGGGAGCAGAATCCGACTGAAGCGTCCGGCAAACTTTGCGACTTGCGCAGGTTGACCGGTCATGACCAGGAAGGCCTCTGTATACCAGTTGATAATGAACACAGGAATCATCGCGAGTCCCAACACAATCAAGCCACTCTGAAAGTAAATGCCAAGCTTTTTGGGCTTTCCAGCGCCATACGCTTGAGAGCACAACGTGTCCATTGCTGTGGCTAAACCAAATCCAATTCCAATCGCTGTTAGGTTCATGCACATCGTTGAGAGTGCAACACCATCCAAATACTGCTTCGTCAATGGCGAATCCAGGTGACCTACCAACGTCATACTCACCAATTGAGGGAAAAACTCCAGCACGTATGTGAATGTGACTGGGTACGCCAACGCAAATAGCTTCCGCACTTCCGTCTTAATATCAGGATGTGCATCGCTCTCGATCTCAACCTTTAGTAAACAGTCGGACTCAATATCGGTTTTCAAGCCTTGAGGGTATGAGTGAAGCAGTGAATGCTCGCCTGCTTTGCGTGACTGTTTCAAAAGTGCATGCTGCAACTCCCATCGATCCCCAACTGACAAAGATGATGAGCACATCGGGATTGCCACCGCATTCATGGAACTATGTGAGCTGCACGACGAGCTATACGAATTTGTAGACGTCTCCGGGTCATCACCGGACTCTTCCAATCCAAATGGCACGTTCGCCTTCAAGCAAGAGCTGCGGTTTGGACAAGTAGTTTGATTCTTATTGATTCTCGTAGCGCCCCGCGGATTCAAAATGGGCCATTTTCGTAGCCTATCACGTGCTTTCAAAACCCAATTTTTCGCGTCAGATGGCCACGGAGTTGCACTGCCATTGTCACTTAGCTGTTCCGACCTGAGTGTACCGTACTGGGCAAATGGGCGCGTCATAGCACCTTTTTTCTTCTCAAGCATAACTTCCTGTGCCGTACGTGGTTGTGACTTGATCGTTCTCAAGTTTTCTTGAACTGTGGTGCTAGTCGCTTCAGTACTCAGTCGATTGTTCCGATGCTTGCATTCGTCTGTATCTCCAGCTGCAGTAAATGGAAGACACAATTTGAAGCTCTGGTTTCGTATAAAACCACTATTACCACTGGAACTATCTCCACCACCAACCGCTGATCCCTCGTCCTCACCAATATTACCCATAACCACCCCCCATTGTTATCTTGACAACTCTTTTTACTTACAGAGCTCTCGTCAATGAACGCACCAAAGCTTTCAATGTGTGTGGGGGGGGATTAATTTCAATAATCTGAGGTTTGCTTCACGATCTGAGTCTGAAAACGGTCAAGACGTAATCCGTTCGTCTGAAATCGAATGTAAACTTGGCGAAACTATTACAGACGACACACACAATAACGTTAGTTTCGTATGAAAACAAAGACCCACCCCACTTGGATAATTGTAGTAGTAGTAGTAGTCGACACGATACGACTCGAATCCCGAGTCGTCGGATCACTATAATTAGCACCATTGTCTTTGCAATCACCTAAAACAAAGCCATCGATCAACAACCCTTTCGATAATCTACGTGATACGTACATACACGACGTAATGGGTCGTCCAGGTCATACAAGCGGCAAATATCGCCATACAGTGTGAGATATCGATGCACCTCTTGTTGTTTGTATTCGACTTTTTAGCTCCACGTTAATTTCTCGTATTGGAGAAAAAAGTGCTTTTTAATGGCGTTGGAGTAAATAAACTGAAGGGTTTTTCGAAAAAGGATGGACTGAATAGTTGCGAGAAGATTGACTACCAGCAAGATGAATGATGTTATTTTTTTTGACACTAAAAAATAGGAATCAAAAGTCATTTGGGTTTAGCAGAAAATGGGACCTTTTTTTGATTAGATTTTTTTCGAGAGTAGGTTTGGTTTTTGACATGTGTTTATAGGAATTTCTAAAATCACGTTGTTTCTATGGATCTCGGATAGAAATGCCGTGGTGTTTTGAGAACCCAAAGGAAAATGTGTACGTTTACTTCTTTCTTGTTTACTTGAAATAAAACGTCACATTGCAATCAGTATGAATGAAGTTTACGAATCTGTAGCAGGAGGTTCGAGGTTTTGTTTATTTTAGGCTGTTTAACCAGTTGCTAATGAAAACGAATAGTTTCCTCTGTCTTTATACATTACACAGTATTGCGTAAGCATGACTTTTCTTGCTTGTAAAATACCAATTGTAATATGTAGTTGCAATCCTACGACCATCATAAGGTATTGATCGAAGTTTTCTGTCTATATATAGAAATGTATGTGCACAGACTGTATCTAAGTACATGTATCGTTGCGGCAGTCGTGCACTAAGTCCATTACTGGTGGATTAAAGATGTATATAACATTTGATTATGTAAGGCATTTACTATAGAAGCTTAGTCTTGGGTAGAGCTAGGTGTGCACATATCGCTGTATTAAAGTAGTAGCTTAGTTTACTACCAGTTGTCTCATGCACCCACGGCCTTGAGAGTCTTAGAATAAAGCAATACCATTACATAAAGCATCGACAGTCATTCAGCTTGGACATGTCTACGACTTCAAGTTGATGTTGAAGTTGTAAAGGAGTGCATGTCATTGACAATCATTTCCGGATTTGAACATACGCAACCACGACAGGCAGCAGCCACGTTTCTTGCTTTAGATGATGAAGCAAATAATGTGTTCAGTCGCCTTGATCTCTCGTGTGGAATTTGCTGACGTCTTGAAGACTGGCCAGTAAGTAGACTTGATCTATGCTTACAACGCATAGCACCTCGGTCTGTTGACGGATTGAAGTAGGTCAGATATCGGCCATATAAGTCATTCGATTCATGACTAGTTGCTCTGAGTCCACTAGATGTAGCTGCAACCCCTGTGCTCTTTGTAATTGTTGCCAACATCGAAACACAAGTTGGTTCCGACCAAGACTAGCTAGCCACTCGTGGCATTACAACGGAAGGTCGTCATCTATCATGTCAACAAGAGTTCGGAACAGCCACGTCATGGCACATTTAGTGAGGCATGGTCAATCCACCACAGCTCTCTTTCAACTCGGTGTTACTGCAAATACAATACGACGGGGCTGTATGAAACACGAACACTCCCGTCTTGTAACGAGACGCTCATTAGTGTATTCACCTCCGACAGCTGAGACAATGCCAAAACCTGTGGCCATTTCCAAGTTCCTGCCATCTCTCCAAATTCCTCCGTCCGACCAAACACTGCTACGGGAATTAGCGACGACGATCGTCACACATAACCTCGAGCAATACAACAATCTGTGCCTTACAAAAGACGGTCATCCAGACAGTCGAGTTTGGAAACCAACTCGCAAGACAGACGGCATTCGAATCTATCGAGAGCGTCCGAATTCCGCCAGTGAGTCTGCACCACAAATTCCGTCGCTGTTACTCTTGGGCTCCATGGTCGGCAAATTAGACGACATCATGTACGCCGTCGTGACACCGACGGACGAATCTCTCAAAATAAAGTCTTGCTGCATCCGAGACGGAGTTGTCGATAGCAGAGTTCTCCAGGAGCTCGTGTGCCCCACCGTTGATGACCCGTTTCACCACGTAAGTCTTCAGTGGCGTCTGTACGAAGGTCGTGACTACGTGACACTCGACACCTCGGGCATGATGCAGACCCCATGGGGTGAGCGTGTTGGCTATAACGTGTCGCACTCGGTCAGCTTTGCTCAATTGCCAGCTTTCGCAGAGCTCAAAATCGCACGTGGCAATATGTCCGTGTGCTCACTCTACCACCAGAAGGCAAACAACACGGTCGAATGCTACACCCGCGGATTCTTTGACTTGTCCACGAACACACACGGAAACACCGTTTTGGCACTGCAGAACATCGCCACGCAGTGGTTGTCGTTCTCACGCAACATGCAATACGCGCAAATGAAGAAGCTTGCGTGGCATTTGCGTCAAAACAGCTACGATATCGACGCGCCACTGCTTACACCAGCCCGATCAAAGCAGATACGCACTGCCTCAACGTGTCAAGTGTGCACCAAGAGCTTCAGTTTCCTGCCTCATAGCAAAAAGTTCTGCAAGAGCTGTGACCAGGTTGTGTGCTCTCGTTGTTGCGTCAAGAAACTTGTTTGTGTCATGTTACCTGACCATTCTTCGATTCTCCAGAATAAACGCGTATTCTGTTCTCAATGCATTCATCGAGTCGTTCAGAGTGATGCCGTTGCAATTGCTCGCGATGAACTAATACGAATAGGCTATGAGAGTGACCCAACTGAACACTCACAACGACAGAATGGTGGTCCATGCCGTACCAAGCAATAGTAAATTGAGCATTGAACGTTTTTGGTTGTTGTGTGCTCTGCTTTGGCTCACGTGTTCTCTGCTTTGGTTAAAGTGGACTACGAGACCGTCGTAAGTGCTAGTGTTGAAGTCCTACAAGGACATCAAATACCTTCGTTTGAAAGCGACATATTGGTCTTCAAGGTCTTTCGTGTAGTATCATGACTCGTAGTGCTGTCGCGCAAACAATGCCGCGTAGATGAACCTTAGTCCATCTTTGCATTTGCATGGATACTGCCTGATCAGGTGTCATGCGTCGTAGATCCATCTCAACGACAGTTGTTTCGCTGTATGCTCAAGTCAAAGTAGCTAAGCACTAGATTATATGACGCTCGCAGAGATAATCGCATTGTACGACTAGAACTTCTAGCCATTCCATGTACGCAAGTAGGATAAACTGGCAAAGAGATCGCCAGCACGAGAGACCATCGGGACAAGATTTCTAGTTTTAGTTCACAAGAATCAGAGAAGTAGCATACGACTTGCGCGCTGGAAAAGTGGCTAGCGAAGAATAGCTTCTAGACTAGCAGATACGGTGTCCAGGATTTACAAGATGATGCCTCAACGTTACCACCAAATGCTTCTGGCAAACCGTGCTGGCATATCAAACTGCACCTCTTTGAATACTATTGCGTCTACGGAACTCAAATGCGCGTCTCGCAAGCAAACAACTAACAACAGTTTCGTCAGTCATGAAAGAGGAGTATCTTCTTCCAGAAGAGGTTAGTAACTTGAGACGAATTCTGTTGCTCGACATATTGATGCTGACACGAGACGTCAAACCGACGTAGCGCCATAACCCGATCATAAAGCATTCGTTTACAACGAGTTGCAGTGCTGAAGTATGGAGAGAACGTGAATGAAGTAGAACTGGCATTTTGATATGGTAAACCACATTGTACGCGAGATGAGCTTTGTTCGTTCGGTTGTCAACCTGACGAAAACGTTAAAAGTGAAGGGCACTCACGTACTAGTGTGTCCAGACGACTTCGGTGAGTCTTGCGGTGAGTCAAAGCTGTCCAATCGTCATGCAGTCTACTTTCATTGCACAGATGGCTGGGAGCTTGGGTTGCCACGGAAAAAACGAGTTTACATATCCAGCACGGATACAGAAGATATGTACGAAACGGACGATGCCATCATTACTCCACGCACCGCATGCGTGCATTCCAGTATGGATAGCTTTGCTGTCCTCATGTCTTTCTTCACCCTATTACATCATTATCTAGGGCATGATCTGTCTTCAAGTTCGCGATAGGACGGGCCAACCTTCCTCTCTCGACATTTTGAAGACGGATCATGCCACAAGGCTCACTTACGAAAACGTCTGCTACTCCGCGAGCGAAAGTAGTTTGCGTTACGCCATAAGCTTAACAGACTTTGACTTCATTATCAAGCCCAATACCGGTTATCAAAAGCCGCGATTACGACGACGGACGAGATGCTTCATAAGAACGGTATCGTGGTGCCAACGCTAGATCTCGAGCATAACGATGAAAAACTGGTGCAGAAGCTTGCAGCGACTCTTTTACAACAAAACATGGATCAATATAGCGAGTTAGCAGTCACGCCCGATGGCCACCCGGATACTCGATCATGGGCTGCTATTCAAAAACGTGAGGGGATACGAGTTTACAAGGAAAGCACTCGTCAACAGCGGCAACAGATCAGAGCTCAGGCGGCTACTGGAAATAGTGCAATGAAGACTGCAGAGGTGCCTCCATCTTTGTTACTAGTGGGGACCATTAAGGGTCGTCTTAATGACTTGCTGTACGCGACGGCAGCGTCGTCGACCGAGGCAATGCTGACCAAGTCCAGATTTATTGACGATGGTGTTATCGCTTCCAAGGTGCTGGCTCGGATCATTGAGCCCACAATGGCAGATCCGATGCACTTTCTCAACGTGACATGGCGCTACTATGCGCTGTCTGAACCACGAGATTATGTATGTCTGGACGTGGCTGGATGGAGCAACACAAGGCGAGGTGAATGAGTCGCCTATCACCTCATTCATTCCGTCGGGTTTGACGTTCTACCTAGCTACGAACACAAAGGTATTCTCGAGTCAATATGTCGGTCTGTTGGATCTTTCGTCAAAAAACAGCTACTCTCGTCGAGTGTTATGCACGAGGCTTCTACGACTTGGATACAACCAATGCCATGCTAAATTCCATTTCAATGCACACGATTGCCTCCCAATGGCTATCGTGTGCCAAGCTTATCTCATACGCTCAAAGCATGAAGCTTGCTCGGCTTGTGAATTGTACCAAAGGTTTTCTAAGTGGTGATGGCTGTAAAAGCGACAGTGGCGATGGGAATTTCGGTACCAGCACCTTTCTTCCATCGCACTCACAAATTGTTTCTAGCTCTACATCGAGCTCTAGTAGCTCTATAGTATTGCTGCCCGCACCACTTGAACCAACACGAACAGTGGCTTTATGTTGTAAATTATGCTGCAAGAGTTTTCGTTTTCTACGTACTACCCGTCGTGTTTGTCAAGCCTGTGAAAAACACGTGTGTTCAGGCTGTGAGTAGGAAGAAAACACTGTGTCGCTATTCTACAACGAAACAACGTGTTCGAGAATGCAACAGGAACGTTTGTAAACACTGTGTAGCTGACGCGATGCATAGCGATGCTAGTGCATTGGCACGTGATGACTTTATTACAGCCGCTCAAACACAACAGAGTTGGTAAGGAAGTTCCACGCAGGTATCGGTCGAGTATAGTGCTTTCTAGAAAGACACCAATCAAACAAAAGGCGTTTTTTATCATGTGGTATCGAATGGTAATGGATACGAAATGATGTACAGAAAGACCACGAGGAAGTCTACGTACTATCAATTAGAGAGCAATGTTAAGTAAACGGAGAGCTTGGTAGTAAGAAAAGTGCTTTTCTTGAGCATCTATTGTCTTGTTTTTCGTACGTGTAAAAGACTCGGCTTGTTTTTCTTACTAAAACAATGAAATCGCGTAAACAAAAAAAAACAGCTGCTGACTACTTTATGTTTTTTTGTTCATGCTACTGTCGCCAGTTCAGTCTTTTTCTTTTCTTCAGTATCGTATTGAAAAGCATCAGATACATACATACACACGTTTATATATACATGAACCACCACTTGATTCATCTAACTGTATCTTAGGTCCTTTTTTCCTCTTCTTCTTCTTATATTATGTCCAAGGATGAGGTTATGGCACAGGAACTGCCAACACTCGAGCTATCAAGTCAAGACATGAAAACAATCTTGGAATTGTCCGTGAGTTTACTGGAAACGAATTTACTGCAGCAGAAACAGTTGAATTTAACACGAGATGGATTTCCAGATTCGAGAAGGTGGCGGGAGATTCAACGCAAGGATGGAATCCGAGTATTTAAAGAGTCACAGCGACAGAAAGTCAAGATATCGAGTGGAAATTGTGCTCCATGTGTTCGAACAGAGGAGATTGAGTTGGATGAATCGGACATGTTGTCGCTTTTAATGCTTGGAACGATTGCTGGAAATTTGAATGACGTCATGTATGCGTCCATTGCGACAAGCACCGATTCGATGCGCGCACGTTCCAAGTTTACACGAGACGGTATTGTGAGCAGTAAGGTGCTTTCGTGTGTCGAGAGTCCGTCTATGGACGATCCGTTTCATACGCTTAATATCACTTGGCGTTATTATTCACTGTCGGAACCCCGTGACTATACGTGTATCGAAGCAACTGGAGTCGTATCGAATGATTATGGCGAACGTGTTGGGTTTCATCTGATCCACTCACTTGACTTTGCACAGCTCCCGACGTTTCAACATTACGGTGTCGAACGAGCCAATATGTCGGTATGCACATTCTTTCGTCGGAAATCAACGACGCTCGTGGATTGCTATACACGTGGATACTTTGACTTTCACACGATGAATCGATTGTTAAACAACATTTCACTCCACACCGTTTCAACACAGTGGCTATCAATGGCTCGATACGTTGATTGTGCGCAGATGAAGAAGCTCGTGTGGTGGATGCGCATGCGAACGGGACGTGACTCATTTGCTAGCAATAGTCATAGTAGTTCCAGCTCCACGTCGACAGGAGGCATTGCTGTTATCCGACAAAACTCTCGTCCTCGCATTCAATCTGGAACTCGCTGTCGTGTGTGTAACCTTAGTGTCGGTGGGTTTCTACGTTCAAGACCTCGAGTTTGTGCGTGCTGTGCCGAGTGGACATGTAAACGCTGTTATGTCAAGAAGAAAGTATGTGTCGTGTCGTCCCATCACAAGAGCAAGGTGAATGAAACAAAACTTGTCTTTTGCGCACATTGTGTTGCAGAAGCTTCCAAGAGCGATGCCTCGCTCATTCTTCGCGAAGAACTCATGGGAGATAGCTCGTCATGCACTGGTCGAGCGACACTGGAAATAACGGACATGTTGGAGGAGTGTTCTCTATTGTCGTGACTTTGTATGGTAGTTTGCTGGTGTATGTATGTATGCACCTACTGCGTAAGAAGCATTTTACTGCGGCTGAAATATATTGAGCGGGGTTGTTCCGTTTTAACATTACTCCCACGACATTCATTATTATGCCAGTGGAGGAAGGTGCGAGACGGCAGCTCCCAAGTGACACCGCACACAATCTATACGTAGCCTCCAAGGAAAAAATACAACGTGAGCAGCAACATTTACTCTTCAATGGTCTTGTTGCGCATCTCCGATACCTTGAAACCAGGCATCTCAAACGACGTCGCCAAAGCATTCACATCACGACGCAGTTGCTTTACGCCTTCGTGAACTTCAGCAGCCTTGACAAAGTCCACCAGCTTCTTGCCACTTGTACTCTGAATCTCAATGCATAGCTTTACAGCACGGTCCAAGAACTCGGCGACCTTGACAAAGTCAGCCTCCTTAAACCCACGGCTAGTAAGTGCCGGCGTGCCAACACGCACGCCGCCCGGAGTAAGGGCGCTGCGGTCACCCAGCACAGCGTTCTTGTTGAGCGTGATACAAACCATGTCGCACAGCTTCTCGATCTTAGATCCCGTGACGCCCTGAGGACGCAGGTCCCACAAGACCAAGTGGTTTTCAGTACCACCCGTGCACATTGAATAGCCTAGGTCAGTCAAGGTCTTGGCCAGAATCTTGGCATTGGCCTTAAGCTGTTGCACGTATGCCTTAAACTCTGGGCTCTGAACTTCCTTCAGCTGGGCAGCAATACCGGCAATCTGATGCTCGTGCGGTCCGCCCTGTAGAGCCGGGAACACAGCATTGTTGATGCGAGACTCAAAGCCACGTTCGTCACGGCGGAAAAAGATCATGCCAGCACGCGGTCCACGCAGTGACTTGTGCGTCGTCGTAGTCACAATGTCGCAGTACTTAAAGGGGCTATTGTGCTCTTGAGTAGCTACAAGACCGCTGTAGTGGGCCATGTCACACATAAGCAAAGCACCATTATCGTCAGCAATCTTGCGGAACGCGGCGTAGTCCCAGTCACGTGGGTAGGCGCTGCCACCGCATATAATCATAGCAGGCTTGAACAGAGCAGCCTGTTCGGCAAGCTTCTCAAAATCAATCAGACCCGTCTCAGCATTCACACGGTACGGTAACGATTCAAAGTACACTGACGTAGCCGACACAGCCTTACGAGTCTTTTCAGCCTTTGAGTATGTATAAAAGCCATGGGTCAGATGACCTCCACTGGGCAAGTCGAGACCCATAATGCGGTCGTGTGGACGCAACAGTGCCGTGTATACAGCAAAGTTAGCAGGAGAGCCCGAGTATGGCTGCACGTTGACACCCCACTTGTCAGCTTCTAGTCCGTAGGCCGTCAGTGCACGCTGCTGGCATAGAATCTCAATCTTGTCAATCACTTCATTACCACCGTAATACCGCGCATTCGGCTGACCCTCGGCGTACTTGTTTGTAAGACATGAACCCAAGCAGTCCATAACAGCACGGGATGTAAAGTTTTCCGAGGCAATAAGCTCAAGGCATTTCCATTGACGATTTTTCTCAGCTTCAATGAGGTTAAAGATCTCTGGGTCTTGTTCTTCGAGTGTAGCGTTACCAGCCTATAGGAAAGAGAGGATAAAGAAAAAGTGAGAAACCTACAGCTACGTATGACACGTAGAGAGAGAAGGATAGAGATAGACAGAGAAGACGTACAAGAACCATAGCAATGTAGTAAGAGAGTCGATTGATGAGACTTGATGGAGAAAGAGTCAAATGCGGAATGCGGCAACAGGGTGCAAGGTTGCAGTGACCATCACTCTCTAGTACGTTGTCCACGATTGTAATCAAATTACACAAACTATATGATTAAAGAGGATATGATACAACTAGCTGCACCATAAAATGGAACTGATGTGGATCACTTTATTAAAACACACAGGTTCAATCGAAACCGCAATGTGCTGGGCACCACGCACTGGTGCATGGCAAACCTGTAAAAATGAAACTCCTAGCCCTAGTAGAATACGACGAAACAATGGTGTGCTGCACACCAAACATCTTTTTCACTCTTTTGTCACCCCATGGCTTCCTCCGCTTCGCTGATGTCGTCGTCCCTACCACCTTCAGCGCTGGAGATCTTACCAAATATTATGGTACTGCCCTCCAGTCATTGCTATATCAATATATATATGTATTATATATACTTTGAATTCTCTTCTCTCTCTGATATCGTAGATTCTCCAACTGTCATGGTCTTACACTCATGTTGTCAATGTGTCTCTACGTACTCAGGCAGCTATTGGCCGGACTCCCATGGTGCGTATTAATAATATTGACAAGAAAGCACATCTACAGTGTGAAATCTTGGCCAAGTGCGAGTATTTTAACGCCAGTGGATCGAGCAAGGATCGTATTGCAAAGCGTATGGTGGAAGATGCTGAAGCGGTGGGACGTATTAAGCCTGGTGACACGCTTATTGAGCCTACTTCTGGCAATACAGGTGGGAAAAAGAGTCAAGAATCGCTGTGTGTAGAGTAAGAGACTGAAGCTCGGGGTGTTTTTATAGGCATTGGACTAGCCCTCGTGGCTGCTATGAAAGGCTATCGATGCATTATCACACTGCCAGGTGATGATAGATTCTGTGCCAATTGGTCATATCGTGTGTATTATGTAGTTGATTTTCTATATGACTGTGATTGCAGAGAAAATGAGTCTGGAGAAAGTAAACATTTTGAAAGCACTTGGAGCTGAGATCATTCGCACGCCCACCGAGGCGGCGTGGGACTCACCAGAGAGTCATATTGGTATTGCCAAAAGACTGCAGGCAGAACTCCCAAATGCTCATATTTTGGATCAATATGCTAACCCATCAAACCCATTGGCACACTATGATGGCACAGCTGAAGAGATCTTGGATCAATGTGACGGAAAAGTAGATATGGTTGTTGTCGGTGTCGGTACTGGCGGAACAATCTCGGGGATTGCCAAGAAACTAAAGGAAAAATGCCCGGATGTTATTATTGTTGGTGTGGATCCAGAAGGATCGATTTTGGCCCAGCCGGAGTCGCTGAACGACAAGAATCGTCTGAGGCCGTACAAAGTAGAGGGTATTGGCTACGATTTTATCCCGGACGTGCTTGATCGTAACTTGGTGGACAAGTGGGAAAAAACAAACGACCAAGAGTCGTTTATTATGTCTCGCCGTTTAATTCGTGAAGAGGGATTGTTGTGCGGTGGATCAAGTGGTGCTGCAATGGCGGCGGCAGTGCGTGCCGCTTCGACACTAAAAAGTGGCCAGCGCTGCGTTGTCATTTTGTCGGACTCGACGCGTAACTATATGACCAAATTTTTGAATGATGCGTGGATGTACGAGAACAAGTACGTGGAAAACTCAGTACACACCCGTGAGAATTACTCAAAGTACCGCAAGGACACTGGCACGTGGTGGTCGGAGCAGCGTGTGTCGGTTTTAAAGCTGCCACATCCGTCAACGGTGCCTCCTCACCTCTCCTGCGCTGCGGCTATTGAGACAATGGAGCATCATGGTTATGACCAACTACCTGTCGTGAATGAGCATGGTATTGTACAAGGTGTGGTGACCATTGGCAATTTATTATCAATGCTTTCTTCTGGCCGCGTGAGACGCACTGATCCAGTCGAAGCTGTGACGTTTGGCAATTTCAGTCGTGTTACTCATGAAAGTTCGTTGGCTGACCTTGCCACGATATTTGACAAGGACTATTTTGCCATTGTAGCGTCAACGGACGGTCTCATTGCTGGTCTTGCAACGAGAATTGATCTCTTAAACTACATTACTAGTGCTCATAAGTGAGTTTTTGGAGGTTCAGACGATAATATCGCTCAGGGATTTTAGATGAAAATGGTAGGATAAAATCTACTCAATTGTTTAAATGAAATGCTGTATAAATACTAAAATCCATTTCCAAAACGAATCCGGATTTTATCTTTTCATCTCAATCGAATGACGGATTTCAAGAGCTCACTCCGGCAGCGCAAGACTAAGACCATGTCTCCTCTGAACGTCCACAAGAAACGCTCCAATGCTTCTGGATCTACACGTAACGTACCAGACTCTCCACTCTTTCATCCTCAACGTGGTTTACGGCCTTATAATACCTTCCGCGTCTCACGTGGAAGCGAAATCGAAGGGCTTTTGTTATTTCCAGAGCAACCACGTCAGATTCTCGTTCTTTTTCTCGTTGTGGCTGGTTTTTCCTACTATTCGTTCACCCACGAGTCTCAGGATCAAGTCCAGAATGTCCGTAATGCACTCTTTGCTGCTATTCTCGTGTTTCTAGTCTACTGTTTCCTGCAAACACGAGATGGATTAATGATGCGTCCACATCCAGGAGTTTGGAGAGTCGTGCATGGTTGTTCCGTAGTGTATCTACTACTTTTAGCAGCCATGTTGGTGCAAAACAGACAGAATGCAATGAAAGCCATGCAGTTTTTGTTTCCAGAGACAGGTAATCGACCCATGACGACCTCGAGCTCTGGACAATTGCAGTGTGACATTAATTCAGCGGTAAATTATTTACTGCAAAGGAGAGAGAGACAAGACGAGGAGTTGATACACCTGTCATACCTGTCATATATGTCACACACAAAGTGTCGTGCTGTAGTGTGGCTGACTGGTTTGTTCGTGTGTGTGTATCTACGTTTATGTGCTTTTTTGTAGTCGTTGACTCGTGGAGTAACGAGCATTTGGTTCTTTGCACATGTGACGGGCTGGTGGGGTAAAATGTGCATGTTCCGTGACTGGCGATTCTGTTGGGTGCTCAGTATCGCCTTTGAAATTCTAGAACTTGCATTGCAATTTGTCATTCCAGATTTTAAAGAGTGTTGGTGCGTATACAAGCAGCCTGGGCAAAAGGGTCAGGACTGACTGATAGATGGCTGTATATGTCGTTTATGTTTTTAGGTGGGATTCATTGTTGCTGGATATGCTTGGGGCAAACATGCTCGGTATGTGTCTTGGTCGCGTGACATTGTGGCTCTTGGAATCAAAAGATTACGATTGGTCTGGTCGTCGGGGCAAGAAGTTGGGTTACTTTCGTTTGGCACTAAATCAGTTCACCCCTTTCAGTTGGGAACAATATCACTGGGAAGTCTTTTCGAGTTTCAAGCGATTTGCAGAGATTGTGTTTGCCATGTTAATGTGTCTCATTACAGAACTAAATGCATTCTTCATGCTGACAACATTGAGCATTCCGAAAGAGAGCAACTATAACTCGTACCGCCTCTTTCTCGTATTCATGCTCGGAATCCCTGCAGCTGCTGAGGTGAGATATCTATTCTTTTGCTTGTCTTGTTATCATTTACCTTATAACTCGAAATCAGTTTCTAACTTGTTGATCACTTTGCCAGTACTACGAGTTCATTACAAACCCAGAATGTTGGCGCTTAGGCCAGAATACATGGATGATTCTGTCCATTGCTACCTTTGAGATTCTGGTATGGGTCAAATTCTCAGCAAACGGCGTGTTGTTTGTACAACCACCTCCAGTTCAAGTGCTGTATCCGATCCTAGCATTTATCATCATGTTTTCAATCTGGGTCGTGCTTTTCTTCCGAAATGTGCGACATCAACCGACATCTCGCATTTCACGTCGACTTGTTACTGGTTGGGGCTACCTTGATGTGCTGTTTTGGGCATCATTTACTCCATTGATCATCTTGACGTCACAATGGGCATTTTAATGGCAATTAATTTCTACCTGATACGACAAGAATGCTGCTAATAGTTTTAAGTGTGTCATCATACTGGAATGTCTTGTGTATTGACAATTAATTGTTGAAAGTCATGCGGTAGAAAAATCAGGATAAAATCCATCGACAAGTTCCCTCGACAAATTATTCTAAAAGTAACAATATTGCAGGACGTTTTCAGAAGTTAAAGTCATTTTTACCAATATATGGCAAAATTTGTGGGTATGAAATTGTTATGATCTTCGGAAGCCATTTTGTGACGTGATAGAGGACTCTAAATTAAGGCAAAAACCTTGATAATAGCAGTTCTAATGCCATGCAACGAACGTATCAAGCAACATCTAATCATCTTCATTTGCTTCTTAATCTCTTCCACATTCACCGTCTGTCTACAGGAAATGCAACAAGAGAAACCGCGTTCAAGCACTCACAGCAAAGCTCAAAAGGTCTCACCTTCATTGAGCGCCCTGGACGTGCGGAGTGTGTGGATGCATGTACACTGCGTTCACATTGCCTCCACTGTCGCTACCAAAGCGCGGATCGTGGCCGCTTACGAGTGGTCGAATCCCTGACAGCGTCTTGAGCTCGGTAATTATTCGAGCACAGAGGTTCATGCACGTGAAAGCATTCCCATCCAGACGCTGAAAATCAAGTAGATAGATATGCTGCTGCACCTTGTACAGCTGAAGACCAATCTTGATGCGCTGCATTTGCTGCTGCAACATTGCCTTCTCTGGATTCATCACGGTGCTACCATTTGTGTCTCCTTCTGAAGCTTGCCACCGGCATTTGACGCGGTACGGCGCCACAACCTTCCAGTCAAAGTGAAGCACGAAGAGCGCCTTGTACACCTCGGACATTACATGAGCCGGCTCTTTCTTTGACTGAATTCCTAGATACCATCGTCGCCGCTTAGCTGTGGGAGCGGTGCTCCCGAGACCATCTTCGAAACCAAGCACGTTGTTGCCTCCACCTATTGACATTCGCGGCCCCTGCCCTGGAATATTAATACCACGCCCACCAAAATTTCGCGGATCGGCAAGAGCAGACGACGGCGTCACCAAAGGCGATGCCGCCATTGGAAGCGGTCCTCGTCCAGGCAACAATAATGTACTAGGCTCAGGAGTTGAGAACGTCTTGGGCTTGTTATTCACCGTGCGCACGTCGCGTAACTCTACAAGCACACAGATTGATTGATCAGTCAAAACGCTTAGCAAACACAATGTAGACAACCAACCGTCTATGCGAATCTTAGCGTTCTTGTGGTCAAGAATAAGTTCATACGCTACACGAAGCGGATGGTTCTCTCGCCTCATAAGCAGTGCCACGAGCTGATCGTGTCCAATATTTGCTGCATAGTTCAGTGCCAAACATTGCGACAGACACTCCTCGTCAATCTTGAATGTCTACGTAACCCGACAGAATAACAATAAATACAACATCAACGTGCCACTCAGACTAGTAGAGAGTCGCACATACCTCATTCTCTACAATCTCCGGCGGGTGTTGTAGATATGGCGGGAGATCAATCTGGAACCATGGATGTTGCCTGATCTCTGGGATCGTAATACGCTTCATGGGGTCCACCACGAGCATGCGCGGAATGAGGTCGCGCGCCATCTCGGACAAGTGACTCGGTAGCGAGTACATACCACCTCGAATTTTTTTAAACAAGTTGGGAATACTTTCATCATCAAACGGTAGACTACCGCACAATAGTGCATAGAGAATAACACCACACGACCATACATCGACTTCTGGACCAGCATACAAACTGCCCGAAATCACCTCGGGTGCTGCATAATTTGGAGAACCGCACGATGTGCGTAAGAAATCTCCATCTTCCATACTATTTGACAGCCCAAAGTCTGCAATCTTGATATTGTTATCAGCATCCAACAGCAAATTTTCAGGTTTCAAGTCTCGGTGTACAATTCGATGAAAATGACAGTACTCGACGCCAGAAATAATCTGATGGAAAAAATGTCGTGCTTCTTCTGGTCCCAACTATAACAAGATGAAAAAAAAAGACAGACAGAAAAACACCAACAAACAAACACCAACTATCAGCACAAATAGATAAACAAAAGTGCAAAACCACATTGTGGCCATAGAGAATAACCACCAGCAGACACAATACACACCCGTCCTTTTGATACAATATAATCAAATAATTCTCCACCTGCAATATACTCGAGCACCATAAAAATATCCGTTGGTGTATCAATGACCTCGTAGCTAGAATCCAAAAACAGATATTATCCAATGAAAAAAAAATCCAACAGATAAAAAAAAGAATCATGTCAGCTACGTCATCATCGTCGTCTTGTTGTAACTGTCACTCTGCTGCTTTTGTTTGTTGCGTGATAGAACGTACAGACGGATAATATGTGGATGACGCATTTTACGCAAGAGCGTAATCTCCCGTCGGACTTTTTCACTCATATCAAGACTTCGGATTTTATTCCGATTGAGGATTTTTATTGCCACTTTATGTCCCGTAATATCATGTTCTGCCACTATAGTTCGTATCAATTATCAAAGGATAAAACCATCACAACACAAAAAAACCCAATATATAAAAAAAACCCTGTTACTTCATCATTTTTACGTTACATAAACCGTGGTCAAAACTCCCTTGAATTATCACAATAGCACGTACATTTGACTTTGCCAAAAGAACCAATACCAAGCGTTTTACGTAACCGATAATGACCTAATTGAATGGGTATATCACTCATTGTTGCTAATACAAACAGACGAATGAAACTAATGACCGGAGTAGGCAAAAGCTCCTGAAGAGCAGAGCGTCACAGCGTTTTCGTTTAATCCGAGTCTTTTTTGCTCTCGTGAAGAAAAGTGAGATTATGGATAGTGTGGTGTACATTAAAAAGCTAAAGTAAAGCAAACATGGCAAAATACCGGTTTCGTCATTGTCTCTCGCTACTTACTGCAAGTTGGTATAGAGCTGTCAAATAAGTTGCAGCTGTGACACTGCTTCAGTTTACAGATTATTTGAGCACGTACTTTGAAGGTAGTAACGTTAAAATACGGGAAAAACCTAAGATTTAGGAAGTACTTAAAAAAGTGTGACTGTATTTGAGTGCGTAGCCATGTCTAAGCAAACGACTTTGCTATCATATAATGAAAGGGTGGTATTAAAAGGAAGTTCTATAGAGTGACAAATGGCTTACTTTACTGATGGATCAGACAATAGACACAATCGCAATGATAGGACACCTACTTTTTTTTGCAGATAAGATTGCAGTGGGCTACTTCGACGATGGTCATACCTCTTCGATATTATCAATGATATATTGCGTCACACAGACGTAACGACGTCCTAGACTGGGCACATATTTTGAACGGTGTTTCGCTTGCACCACCAGTTCGTTAATACTGAGAGATCTCTCAGTAAGTACCCAGTGGCAGTGCGGGCAAAATAGAATAGCACATACACTCTTGTCTTCAAGGTTCCCTTCTTTCACCTTCACCAGCAGCTCATTTTTACTAATCGTTTTCTTCTCTGATCATCATCCAAAGCTTTTCCAAAGATATATCGGACTTTTTTTTGTCCTGCTTCAGCACCCGATGATCGAAGTACGACGACACTAACGTCAGTAGTATCCAAGCACTACGAGACCATCAAAAGGTGCTATAGAGTGGTCCCTGTACTCGCCCTCATCTTATAAGGTAGAGAACCACTGACGTGATTGCAGATAGAAGAGATGATCCATGAATGATACAATCAAATGGCATCACCACGACCACCTGCAAAAACACGTGGATGATGCAATCAATGTGTATCACCACAACCCTCTGCGAAAAACACACGACCTACACTTTTCTCCCCACAAATTGCAATCTGTGCGGTACTTCAAACCACCGGCTCACTTGATTTTTGATCAAAAACGCTACACTTAATGAATGTTTGTATAGGGCCGTCACATTGTGATTGAGGTGAGCAATATATATTATATACATGTGTGTGGAAAAGCAAGAACGACAAACTGATCGATCGAGCTGGTCAAGACCTCGGAGCAAATCATGATTCTTCATTCTACCAAAAAAAACATTCTGGCAATTTGAGTGTGCCAAATGCTTTGCGAGTTGCTAGTTACAGGTGACAGACGAACCCAATGTACTCAAATCTTGCGCCACATGCCAAGTGCGCTACTCGCTATTACACCACAAAAATACAGCATCATTGATAGATATAGTAACTACATAAATAACAAGCGTTTAGAACGTCTTGTTTTAATACATGTGTCGCACATTGACAATTTGTCCGTCCGTCCAATCATTTCGTTATGACAAAAAAGACAGTAGTATGAGGTTCAACAAGTGGTAATAAATCGACTGAGATGGATTCCAATGAAGGGGATGAAATAAATAGTGAGGAGACTTACATAATACGTATGTATACAAATACATCTATTAAAGCAAGTGCATGTTTGGAGGTATTGTGTCTGGTGTGGTGTGTGTGTGTAACTGTATTTCTACGGTGTTGAATCAGTTTTCTACTTTTGGTTTAATTATATACTAGTTATCACAGGTCATATTCAGGATCCAACCATCCTAGTCAAAACCTTTATTCATGTACTAAATATACAAAGAAATCTAATTTATACAGGTCTGAGCTGCCCCGGCTCCATCGCCCCCCTCTCTGGCTCGCACGAAAGCCGCTATTCCAAAAAACCTTCTGTGCATTATCCAATTTGCCATCCGTGATAAACACATCATCATCACTTAAGTCTTGATTGTCTTTTTATTGTGCTGAGTGTTATCTCGTCTCTCTCTCTATCCTTGATCCATTTCAATCGTGTTCATCTCTAAATGGCTACATCTCCATTCTCTTTTACATTAATGAAACAACAAATCAGTCTCAAACGACGATCTCACCATTCCATGGAAGAAGATTGCCATGATTCCTCCTCTTCCTCCTCCTCCTCCTCCAATTCTTTCTTCTCATCTGTTCCAACAGTGAGCAAGAGTTTTTGTCATCGACGAACAACGGCATTCTCTTGTCATACTTCCGACTCATTCAACTCATTTACGTCGTCGTCCTCATCATCCACGTGTTCCTTACATCAACAACCTGTTGTTCCAATGACGTCCGTACCACGTACGGTTGAGATTATCTGGGGTGGTCAGACAGCACCAGGTTTTACACTCAAACGTAAACGTACTGGTGCGATTCTTATTAGCACCGTGATGCAGGAGACACAAGTCGCGACTACACTAAAAGTCGGGAGTGAATTGAAACTTGTAGGTGGATTTCCAGTCAAGCGGCTTAAACTACAGGATGTAAAGAAGGTAATGCTTCTAGCACCGAAACCCGTGAGTCTTGTGTTTATTAACGCTGACGATGTGATCATTGGTAACGCAATGGACACGGACAAAGGTATACCCGGTGCTTTATCAACGGTTAACACGTCACGGACGTTCATGACGGTACCTATTGGATTGCAGCCATGCAGTGACAACAGTGGAGAGAGTAGCAACAGTAACAAGTCATTGCCGACTATCACATCGTCATTCTATAGCGAACCGTCTGCGACCAACAAAGCGAAAAAGCGCAAAGTGTCCAAGTTACAAGTAGCTTTGGTTCGAGTGAATCAGCTATTGAATCGTCCAGTACGACAAACAGGTCTCCACGTTGCAACGGGCAAGAGTATTGTCGTGTGAAAACGTCTCTTGACATTCATTGCGATCCATTGACAATTCCATGCACCCTTTTGTGTAGCTCTATGAGAAATACCGCCACATCACCTCATATAGACAGAGAAACAATACAATACAAAACCGAAGCAAACATGTGCGACTTGTTTGATCATGCTTCCATCATGTATTTCTTCTATCAGCAGCAGAGAATAGTGAGCACAATGGTTAATGCTAAGCAGACGACTACATTGTTGTAGACTTTCCAGTCTACCCCGTACAATCTGAACGTTCATGGTATGTCCTTCTTTTGCCTAGAGCTTGAGTCTCTTGGAAAAGTGCGCGTATGCATCTACAGGAATGTGCAGCATATGCTTAACGTCTTTCTTGTCAATACTGCCCCTACCCGAACGATCAGTATAGTGAAAACATCGACTCAAGTTGTTTCGGAACGAATGCAAGGATTTACCGCTTGCTTGGAATGGCGTTAGGTCAGCTACGTCCTCGATTGTCACAAGACCATCCTTGTCCTGATCAACCATGTCAAAGACCTGGTCAATGCACTTGGCAAATACGTCATGATGTTGGCTTTGGACTAGCGACCAATCTAGCAAAGCAGCACAAAACTCATCGCGACATAATCGACCATCACCATTGAGGTCCAAGTTTCTTAAGAAACCCTTTGCCTCGCCTGTCGTAAGTTGATAGCCACCTGCTGCCACGTAAACTGCAAACTCCTCGAGACCTACAATTTCACTGCCATCACGAGAAACTTCACTATATAGTACCATCACGTCTTGCTTTAGTTCAAGAGGCAGCAGGCAAGTTACTTCGTTCAGTAAGGCACGCTGCAGACTGTTGAGAGATCGATAGAATTGTAACCTTTGTACAAGCGTACCGCTTAGCGCTGGACCTGTAATTCTCTTTGTAGCTTCCTTTGCAGCAGCAGAAGCCGTAGTAGATGCCTCAATGGATAGCGGCGCACTCGGAGCAAGCCATGGGTGCTGTAGTGCTTGCTCAGCTGTGAGACGTTCCGAGACATCGCGCACCAGCATTTGGTGCACTAGATCCTTGGCTTCATCCGAAATACTAGTCCACGGCGGGGTCTCTAGATCAACCTCTTCGTGCATTATACGTTCGTCTAGCAACCCTCCAGCTTCGAATGGATAGCGTCCACTCAATAGCCAATACAAAATCACTCCACAGCTCCAAACATCCGACGGGAAGGAGTATTTGTGCTGTAGCACTTCTGGTGCAGTGTACAGTGGCGTACCGTGAACATCATTCAAGAACTCGCCTTGATCTAAGAATGCTGCGCCACCAAAATCAGTCAGCTTAAGCGGACTGTCATCCTTTGTGTCCGCAAACAAAAAGTTCTCAAGCTTCACGTCTCGGTGTAAAATGCGCAGCAAATGGCACTGCCATACCACATGCAGAATATCTCGCATGTACGTCTTTGCTTGCTCCTCGTGCGTCAGATTAGCACTCAGGTCCAGTTCCTTGACTCGAGATAGCCGCGTTGCTGCATCTCCACCCACACAACGCTCCATTACAAAGTAGACACTAGCATCATCTTCATACGCTCCAAAAAAGTGCACAACATTTAGCGTTCCGCCTAGTAACTCCATCATGCGTGCTTCTTGTTTTAACGCAGCATAGTCATAACAAGTACCTATTCGAGCCTTGGACACAACCTTTACCGCTAAATCCAGCTGTAAGTCACTACTACGCAGCTCAGAATGTCTTGGAAGTGCACAATACACGATCCCAAATGCTCCTTCGCCCAATTTGTCTCCAAGTTTGTACTTGGCATGGAAATCCCGTGGCAAATGAAAATCGAGCTTCTCTGGTTTTGTAAGAAAGCTTGCAACTTCGAGCACAATTCCTTGTAGCTTTGGATACGATGCAAGCTTTTGTATTGATCCTCTCCAGCTTTTACGGACATTGCCATAGCTTAATCCCATCGGCATCCAAGCTGTCGGTAGTTTTTGACGGTTTTTAGTCCTATGTACTGCAGCTTCAGGTATCAATGCAACACCTACGTGTTGCTGAGGTAATTTCTCATTACGTGCATTGATTACGTATCGATAATTGCCACTGGACGTGCCAGGAAGTGCCTGTACACGGCGGAAGGCGATCGGGAGAGCCTTCATTTTTACGAAGCGATTGTGTAGGTACTAGAGCACGACAAATGATGAGAAAAGCATGTAACGATACATTGAATAACAATTAGTACATTGATGCAGGAAGTACGCTGTGAATCGATCTACAGAGAATAAGGTGGTGAATAACGTAGCAAGGGAATGCAGCAACCACGTACTGTTAGCTTTTTATCGTTGCGATCGTCTCGAAATTATCATGTACCATAGAATTGGTACCGTCTCGACGTGTCAGACATGATGTGAGTCGTCCGACGTTGACATGCATATGGCGATCTGGTTCCAATACAAATGATTGGTCATCAAAAGGAACATGAAGACAATCCATGGATTTAAAGCACAAGAACAAACTCATATTGAATGAACATCGGTAGTATCATCAGCACTTTCGGTTGTGGATGGTGATGATACATCTGTTCTCCTGTTTGCTACAGCCAATGCTTGTGACAATGTCGTGTCCTGCTGAAGACGCAGTACACTGCCTGATAATAGCCGACTCAATGGTGACAGGAGAAACAAAATCGAGTGTGACAATACAGCCATCTCATCAGAAGCTTCCACATTGTCAGCGTTACTCGATTGTCGCGATGGCAGCAACACGCAATTTACTTGGATGTTGCGCGGTTGTAGCTTGACAGCTAATGCATTCACAAGCGACTCAATGGCAGCATTATCTTGTGTAGGTGCAACGTGTATGATCGTACCGCTACTAGGTGTTAGCCAGCCGTTTTCGCTACTAGCGCGATCCGAGAAGCAGGTTGACACCATGGACTCATTAAGAGCTTCAATGAGGGCCCTAACATTGAATGTCAACACAAATACATATTCATCAGTAAACAAGCACATTGACCAAAACACAAAGCCTTTCTACTCGTACACGTTAGACACAATAAGCTCACTGTCGATCAGGTTTTCTTTGGTATGTTCAGATGATAGCAACTCGGCCATTTCGGAGCCAACGTAATTTATCAGGAAATTTACGCGCTGATATTTTGTAGCAACTGAGCTGCACCACTCGCTGATATCTGATTGTGTTCGAAACGAGCCCAGCACGGGAATCATCACACCACGTGGGCTGTCTTTACTACTCGACGGATCTGAAAAGCGGCCAATATGTTTTGTATTAAAGTCGTCCAAGGCTGACATGTTCCTGTACGATACATTGTGACTCATCATTCAAACAATAACAAGCAAGAACAGAACGTACGTAAAAGTAAGCAATACGTTCGCCCCCAAGAGCCACAATTGTATCGCTATCGTCGACATTGACTGATTCTCTCCGCCAATAACGACCACCTGAAAACAAGAAGAGAAAACAAGCCCGCTCGCGCGTCACACATTCTGTTCACGTACAACAAACCTCCGCACAAACGCACCAGTTTGTTGAAAAATACTGCCTGCCAGTGCGCAGACATAACTTCATCTTGATACAACACAGAAGAAGTGAAGCTGGACACACCACCAACAGTCGCTGCATTTGCACTCGTAGCTTCATTTGCGCGTACTGTCGCGATACTTCCAGCAGAGTATACCGACTCTGCCACATCCAAAGTGTCTTTATCATTGGTCGAACATTCCGTGAGTTTTGTACGCTTTCGGTTGCTCTCGGATCCATCGTGACCGTTCAGATACTCACCAAAAGCACGTTTCGGAAGCTCTGTATCTTGGTCGACTGCAGCTGGATTCGAATGATCGACACCAAGACCATTCAATTGACCATAGAGTCCATTGTTGATTTCCGTTCGTGCATTACACCGTCCTTCGCGCAAATTTTGCAAGAAAATTTGCACCGCCAAATCCCCTTCAGCCTCACGCTTATGTTTCAATAACCTCATGAATTCCGGGTGTTTGCTCATTAAATGATTCTCAATACGTCCACGTCGACAATTGGAACGGCTCCATATCTTTGTTAGTTCACGTTTTGATGATGGATCGTCACACAACATGCACACAATAACGTCCTGTTGTTTCTCAGGACTCTCGATTGTTGACGTAGCTACTGGAGTATGAGACACTGCATTATCAAATCGATACAGAGCCTTATTGAGTACTTGACCATTCATCTCCGTAGAAGATAAGGAACGCTCAATGATTGGCAACGAGTGTAGCCATCGTGCCTGAAACGAAAACACACGTTTACGTGATCCGGAAGTACCTGTAGATTTTATTGATTGCTGTGGGATAGAGACCGTATTGGACATTGTAATTTCGTCGGAAGGTTTACAAGATACATGCAAAGAAGATGTTGGTATTGATGGAGAAGTACAGGATGTTGTAGAAGTAGGAGAGCACGTGACACCAACTGCTTTATCTGCCATCACTTGGAGAAATTGGTTTCAAACACCTCGTTGTGTCTATCGAGAATGGTACAGTTTCAAAAAAATGAGATGGTACATGGTACCAAAACATTGGTACGTACGATGGTAGTCATGATTTAGAAATCTCCCGTTCATTTCTATTCGAAAGAGGCATACAACTTAAGTTAGTATTCTATCTGACAGGTAAAATAAAGAATACAGGCAGGGAGTGAAGTTTAAACAAGAGTGAGGGAAAGTTTACGGTCTGACAGCAAGATATTGTATAGTATATATTAGTTACTACAAAGTATTATTTGTGACAGTATAATACAACACATCAATGCATACATTCTCAAAGTACAGTCTGATCATTTCTTACAGGTTTACTCATTCAATCAGGTTTGTAGGCATTTGAAACTTCTACAACCTCATTCCCCATCTTGACGCCTCGTGTCCGTCCGTTCGTCCTTCTCTGCGTCTTCCCTAGCGTCGTTTTAGGCCATTAACGTCTCTGTATAACATGACCACATCGTCAGCTCCAAGCTCACCGTATCTTAATACATGGACGTCCTCGGTCAGCAACTTACCAGTTGTCAAGCAGCAACCATCCCAAGTGAAAGCATCGTTGACTGTCACAGCTCTCCCAGGTCCTATTACAAGCTCCTTGTCATTCACGAGTGTCTCGTCTTGCTTTATCTTTTCTTCTAATAGCTCATTAACTTCTACGACGTCATCAATTGATGGATACAGCACGCCCAAGGCCAAACTCGATCCAGTACCTCCGACTCCGACTCTGAATCAGATCGAGACTTTGACTCAGATTCAGGACATACCATCGTTATCTCCATTAAGTGCCATGGGCAAGAGAAAACGACTTGATCTGGATGATCATTTATCATCAGTCATGGCTTGTCCAGTAGCTACGAAACGTAGAGTTAGTTGTAATCATTATCTTCGTAAAGGTCAATGGACAAGCACCGAAGAGAGATTAACGAGGTTATTGATTGAAGCCTTTGAAGAAGGAAGTTTACCAATTTATACAGGTATTCGACTTCGTGGGTATTTAGCGGTTCAATTACAATGTGATCCCATGCGCGTATCAAAGAAACTCTGCACAGGAACAATTTATGGAAAGAAAGTGCCCAGGAATTATGGTCAAAAAAGTTTAAGCTTCAGAAAGAAGCAGTCAGGAACACCAAGGAAGCAGCAGCGAGATTTGATGAACTGGAGAGACTGACGAAAGCATTGTGGAGTGAAGCACGGATGAGTAAACCTACATTTCTTACACTATCGAGTACGTGCAATTTCACCAAGAGACGGGAAGCAGCATTGTCGAATGTGACAACCAGCTGCTCGTCACTATCAACATTCAAGTCGAAGAAACAAAAGATGTTTCCTGTCATTTACTTGAACCTGTCCAAGTCGAAACGCTATTTGAACAAGAAAGACAGCGACGATGATTCAAGCAGTGAAGTTGTATCGCCATGCAAAGACTCGGAATCCGATGGTGAATTGATAAAACTTGACGGAGAATCATTGCAAGCGGCGTACGATCTCCTTGCCTTGTGTAGTTTACAGGGCTCATCTAGCAAAGACCGTAACAAAGAGATATGTTTAGCAGCACATTGCCAAGAACATGACCTTTCCACGAACACTTTCAGCAAAGTGGAGATCCATGAAGATAAGCGCACAACACACTTTGAGACACCCGGCAACAAACGGTAACGGCAGTCAAGCATCGACAATTTGAGCGATGTGTTCCAAAGCACGGCGAAACTTGAGAACGACAAACTTACTGGAAGAAGGAAGAGGAGGAGAAGGGGAGTAGGAATCAAACGAAGACAAGTCTACCAAGGAAAAAGTTTTATGGGGGTGGCAACTTCAGTCAAATAGCGTTAAAGCCTCCAGCGATGATGGTACCTGCAAGCAAGTGAGAGAAGGAAGGTTGCATTACGAGCAAAAATCTTCTCCTTCAACGTAAATATATCTGTGCAATATGCATTACCAGAGAGGCCCAATGTATGTATGGTCGCCTATGATCGTACTTTACGAGAAGAAGTAGCACCACTGTTCTAATCGTTACTTTTCCTACTTTTCTTGACCTATCCGAAATTATATATGTATCTCTACAAACTACTTCAGGATTTTCATGCACGTTCCAAGTACTCGACGCGTTCTTACAGCGCTCTGTGTCCTATTCGTAGCTAGCAAAGGATTCCACAGGTTTCGTGTCTTTCTTGCATCGATGCTACATCACTCTAAGCTTCTCAAAGCGACTGGTATGACACCGACATCATCCTATGAATTAGTTAGCACGCTTTTATCGGATTTAGATGCTCAGCGGATTGGAAAAGTACTCCTTGCGGGCAATAATTGTATTGTTTTGGCCAAGAATAATATGGAAATGTACAAGTAAGATTCATTTGCATTATATAGGCGGTGGTTTGATAGGAATCCGACATGTAGAACACTAGTTATGAAGGTTTTGCTATAGAGACGTTTATTTGCATATTGACACGAGGATTTGTATGGTGTAACAATGTATCCATTCTCTCTCTCTATGTATGGCTATATAGGGTCCAGATACCGTCTCAAATGAAGAATAGTTATCTTCTTCATGCACTTGTTCGATCTGGTGTAGACTTTGGTTACGTCTCGCCATCCACTGCTAGTAAAGTAGTTCCAATTGTATTGACCTTCGTGCCATTTTTGTACTTGGGACTGACGTACAAGATGCTACGTCGGATGTTTCGTACGGATACGGGAGCTGTTGGTAAAGATGGTACGAAGAAGAGACATAAACAACAACAAGTGGATCGAATCTCGTTTGAAAAGGTTGCAGGAATTGATGGAGCGAGAAAAGAACTCGAGGAGGTTGTTGAGATTTTGAGACACCCGACTCGATATCAGGATATTGGAGCTAAACTTCCCAAGGGTGTGCTGCTATGTGGACCATCGGGGACGGGGAAAACCTTGTTGGCGAGAGCTGTTGCGACGGAGGCAAGGGTTGCTTTCTTGTTTTGCTCTGCCTCGGATTTTGTAGAGATGCTAGTAGGAAGAGGTGCGGCTCGAGTACGAGATCTCTTTACTCAAGCTGCGCAGTATCCGCAATGCATCATCTTTATCGACGAAATTGATGCGCTGGCTAAAGCTCGTGGTGGTATAAATTCAAACGATGAACGTGAGCAAACATTGAACCAGTTATTGACAGAGATGGATGGATTTGAAGGAAATGCCAATGGAGTTATTGTGATTGCTGCTACGAACCGACCGGAGGTCCTAGATCCTGCCTTGTGTCGCCCTGGTCGCTTTGATCGCCATGTGTACGTGGGTCTACCTGATACCAAGGGACGTGAAGCAATTCTACAGGTGCATTGTCGTAATGTGCGTCTTGATAGCGATGTCGACCTGTCTATTGTTGCGAAGGAATGCGGTCAGTTTGGTCAACTTTCAGGAGCTCAATTGGCAAGCCTCGTTAATGAGGCTGCGTTGCTAGCCGTGCGTTACGGTGAAAGCAGCATCAAGCACGTGCATTTTAAGCTCGCTATGAATCGCGCTTTTGAGTCGCAATCACGCCGTGTTGCTGCACCAGGTATCAAGCCCACGTCATAGCACGCATCAGACCAAAATTCAAGCCAAGGTACTTTTTGATGACACTTGCTACAGAACATGTGAAAAGCGTACGTGTGTTGACTTGGAAGTACTCAAGTCTAATCATCTTGCGCCAATCACATTGAGTCAGGTGAACAGGAATCTAAATATACAACGCCTTTCGTTTGCTACGACGCTTCCGTGTTCTACATCAAGCATCAACATCAAGCATCAAACATGAAGCATGCTATAGATTCAAGAAAAATGCTCAGTGTCATTCATATTGCCATTCTTGTCACTCAACCACCCAGATGATATATCTTGTCCAAGAATAGCAAAAAACTCCACCCACCAACCGTCTTCATCCTTGAAACAGCCCATTATCGCAAACATCAGCTCCAGCTCATTCTGAAAAACGAGCTCACAGCTTGACGTCATAATACTCTTTTACCAGAACGTGCTTAGCACCACCGTAAAAATCAAGAAGAATGATATGTTTAATCTCAAGAACATATGGACGAAACTCATGATTTCTTGGCCATTGTTTCATCTGTGGATGTCTGTCGTCATTAATTCCACCGTGAGAAAAACACCATCAATATAGTGATCCAACAATTAGTCGTGCCACTAACATCACGTACGTACTTGGAAAATAACACTTTTTCAGCATAGTGACGTTCGTTGAGTGATACAACAGGCACGAGATTTCCAAGTAAAGTAAGTTTCCAACACGTCGGGTCTTCAATATCCATCTTGCATGCATTTTGTCCCTCCTGTGCCATTGTCATGGATATGGATGCCGTGGAATTGATACTCAGGTCCTTTCCTAGATGATTTTTCACGTTTTTTTTGCATTGGATTATTCCTTTGTATCGCTTTTTTTTTGATTTTTTCATCCAAAAATAAAAAAATCCATTTCATACCTGAAGGATCCATTAATGTCAGGTAGAAAAATAATTGACCCGTGGAATTCTCCTTGGAATATCCAATTCCATCTAGATACAAAAAATCCAAATCACCAAATAGTGCCACACAAGTATTTGTGTTTTTAGTTTGTCGGCTTGACTTTTTATCCGGATTGTAGACTATACATACCACTGTAAGATAGTGTACTACCATAGGGCACGCCATTGAATTGTACGGAGATTGTGGATACTGTAGCCCATGTATTATCATGGACCAATTGCCGGGCATGTCGTGCTGAACTTTTCTCTGTCTCTCTGATTATTAATATCGTATTATCATATATCACAGTTAGTTTATTCGTTAAAAGTTAGTAGTAAAACAAGGTAATATTTCGTAATTAATAGTTTTTTTAATAATAGAGATTCTTCCTCTCTTACGACGTTAGAAGCTGGAAGATTGAAGATGGAAACGTCCGTGATATTCGACGAGAGTTAGCTCCGTTATGACACCCTACGAGGATCAAGTGTAATAGAAAAATCGCAATAAATTGATAATATTTGTGCTTCATTTTTAAGGATTCCTAGACGTCACTTTTAATTCTTAGTAGTTTAAACCATTTTCGAGACGTCCAATCATAATGGCTTCAGAAGGTTACCTATTCAGCCAATCAGAATGCATAAAGTGTATAAAATACATTAAATGCAATAAAAAATTGACCTAGTGATGTATCTGATAGCGTTTTGATTGGTTGATATTCCAATCGACCAACTATTGTCTCATTCGTCTTTTGCGAAAATAAAAAAAGCTGGAAAATCACAAAGTAAAGTTGCTTGAATGCACAACTTTGACATTAGGTTGCATCACAAAAAACACTCTGCACTGCTATTCTACAAGTGAATCTTAAAAATTGTGAACAAACGACTACGCCAACGATATCATATATAAAAGCCACAAGGCAATGAAAAATATGACCCACGTGCTTAACGTCGGTCGTTAGCACCTCATGACTCAAAAACGAGTACAATCCGGCATCATGCTCTCCTTGAAATTGCGTGATACCATTCTACATCGCACTACCAGCAGCAGGCGAATCGTACATTTGATAGTTTGAATGGGACTTTGCACGTGAGCGGCTAAAGTTTCTTGGACGCGCACTGCCTGGCGTCCGGGCACTGCGACGAGACGCTCGGATGCGGCGTAGACGTGTGCGCTCCGCTTCCATCTCCCCCTTGGTGCACAACATGCCGTTCTTGAGAGTACCCATCGTGAACAACAACCCCATTAGCACGGCGCAACAGCCACTTAATCCAAACAGATACAAGTATTCATTGCCAGCCATCGACTCGTTTGACCGGATAAAAGTGGCGCAAACGGGCAGCAGGAAGAATACCATAAAGTAAACAGTCACATACATCGCGCGCTTCTTCGTGGTAAATAGACCAATGCACGACACCCATGGCACCGAGGTGATTCCCAAACCAGCGAAAAAATAAAGCAACAGACCCACGATCTGCAGCATCAGGTACTCGCTGTCACCCGTCACAAAGACCGACTTGTTGTTCACGCCAAGAATACATACCAGTGCCGCAATCGGTAACAACGTGCAGTACAACATACGTTTGTGGTCGATGCGGTCCATAAAAAAGAAAGAAAATAACGCACCAAGGAATTGAAGCGACGTGCAGTTTACAAACATGTAAGTTGCATCATCAATACCGCGGAACGAATCGGACAAGTACATGTTCACACAGCCAAGGAAGATACTGGATACCAGCACTAGGAAAAGCCCGACCAAGAACTTCACAAACGATGTGCCGCCGTTAGCACTTGAGTCGTCGCTCCCAGACTCTTCGTCACGAATCATTCGCAATTCCTCCGATACGCCTTCCTTACGACGCAAAACAGCAAGACATCGCTCGCACGACTCAAGGCCTTCACGCGCGTATACCCAGTATGGGCTCTCGGGGAAGATGTAAACAGCTGGAGTCATACTAGAGAGAATAATTGTCGCAATAAACACTTGCCACACCCAGCCAACCTCATTCGATGAGGAGGAGAACAAAGACGCAAACAAAATGCCAATAATAAAGCCACTTCCAAGTAAAAGAAGAGCCTTGCCACGCATGTCACGAGTAGATATCTCGTAAATGTACACAGCAAGTGTGGGCAAAAGCATACCAACGGAACCACCGAGCAAGCAAATACCAGGTATCAAGAAACCCTCACCACTCGACTGCACAGCACTAACTCCAAGCATGCCTAATACCGTCAGCAAACCACCAAACACGATCGACAGACGACGGCCAATAAAGTAGCTGAGAAAACCAGCGACAAACGTGCCACCCATGCAACCAAAATAAAATGCATACGTCACTGAACCGTCGCCTACGGTGCCGTTAAGCAGATCATAGGTCGTCACGTAGCTTAAGAAACCAGCAGTGCTTTCGAGCGTCGTAAACAGCTGGAACAACCAACCGCATCCCATACCGCCAAGTACGCCCATGAAGGCAGCCAGAGAGAACGCATACTGGGAAGAGGCTGAAACTACTTCGGAAAAACCTTTGTTGTACATCATTCGTGTCTGAATAATGTTCAAAAACGGAATGGCTGACATGACCAAAAGCGGAAGTATCATGGTCACCGCAAAAACGAAATCGAAGAAAAATGCAAGCTGCTGGAACATGCTCATGGTCGCAATCGACGAATTGGCAAAGCTATACATGCGTGCCATCTCGTTAATGCCGTAGAGCGCTGCCATATAGCCAAAGAAGAGAGAAATCGACTTGATAAAGTTGACGTCAGGAATGGCCATGGCGATGACAAAAAAAGAAATAACCGCAACTACCACTGCGAGCACATAGACCATTGCGCGAATCGTGGAATTAACGGTGCGGAAACCTCTGCCTGCAATGCCAAAGAGGCTCATCATCAGCACTGTGATGGCCGCAGCACAGAATACCAATCCTACAGTGACAATCTTCCACTCGAGCGCCACTACGTACCACATGAGCAAAAAATGACGGAATTCACGCAAAATGACCGTAACACGAGCAGCTAACTTCGTATTGTGATACAACTTCAACTCGCCCTTCCACCAGCCAATCCATCCACCAACCATCACTGTGTCTTCATCCTGATAATCTTCCGCCGCATACATCCACTTGGCCCAAGCCGACACATCAGCCTTTGTTTTCTCCCAGTCCAGACCATCGGTGTTAAAGATATATGGAGACACTAGCCACACCACGGCAATGACCCAAATAGCAAACGTTTGGACGCCAAAGCTCTGTGACGTTTCACAAAAGTCAAACGCAAATGAATTCGTTTGACCGGCGACAGAAATATCACATATATCAAATTTGCCAAAAGCCAAGTACACCAAACAGAGGCCAATGAGTTCGATGGCTTTGCGGTAGTGACTCAAAGCGTACGCCTTGTACAACAACACAAACGTTTCGCGCGTGATCTTGAAACCACGACCGGTAGCCTTGTATTGGGCCTCACCATGGAGCAAGTTGTTGTCAAAAAAGTGCATGGTCGTACCAAGCTGGAAGATAAAAAACATAGGACCAGCAGTGAAAACCATCTCCAAAAACTGCACAAGACCGCGACGCAAACCCATTTCAGCAAAGTACACACAAATCAGCGGTAGCGATAAAAACAGACCAGCCTGGATGTAGTATTGCGTGTTGTAGACAGAATCCATGTCTTTGTAAACACGATCATCGAAACCATACGCTTCCGAGTTGCTCATAATAATCTCTGTGGTATTCATGTTGTACACAATCTGTGCTTGCACACCAGAAAGGGCAATGTAGAGCTTGCAGTACATGTACACAAATGTTGTCGCAATTGTCATCCACGTTGCGCAATAGAACCCAGTGTGTGAGTAATACATCGAATTCAAGCGAAAAAAGTCCATGAACTGACCCATGCGATGAGCCTCACGCGCCAGCGATGTCTCGCCAGCACCATTAGCAAGCTTACCTTCAAACATCGAAATCTGAGATAAAGCCACGTCCCGACCCTTGCCACACTGCATAAACTCCACGTGAGTTACGACACCACCGCGCAACGTCGTATTGAAACCAGCAAACACATCTTCGGATAAATTAATACCCTTGCTCGCCTTTGACACACCACCGCGCGTGATAGCTAACACCTTATCAAACACATCAGGATGCCCGTAATGCATACGAACGTACAAAGGGTCAGCAAGCACACGTTGAGAGAGCGTCACAAATACCAGTTCCTGCCACGTCTTAAACTTCGCAAGAGAGCTGGCATTGCCCGTGAAAATGTGTTCACGCATACCAATAATCGAGACTGGTTTCTTGGATGGGTGCAAGTCTGCCGTACACAAAAGTTGTGGCATCTTCAAGCATTCCTCAAAATAGTGTTGCTGATTCATATCGATAGTCTGCACAAACTCTCCGCGCGTAAATGGAGTAGCGTTGTTCTGGTTCTCAGGTTTTCCTTCGCCCAAAATCGGATCTCCCGGCAGTGAATAGCGATATACTTCAACAATATCATCACCTTCACTCTTGATCAGTACAGTGTCGAAACTCTTTTCACCATCCGCGTGTTCAACCGTGTCCACATAAGCCACTCGCAGATTCGGGTACTCACGAAGGAGGTAGTCAATATCAGCAGCCTGAGCCTTACCCTCAGCGCGGTGCTTTCCGTACACCTGACAAGCACAAACGTACGAAAACTTAAGACGAACCATATCCTGAAGTTGCTTCTGCTTCTGCTCGGCCGACTTGCCAGGACTTGAACCAATTTCTAACCAGTGCAAAATCTTGATCGCATCTTCGTACATCATCATACCTTGCACCGTACGAGCTAACGTCTGGCCACGGTATGAAGCCCATAGACGGATTTCCTCGGGGTGATTCTTCTGAGCTTCCTCGGCGGAACTCACATCTACACGCTCCAAAAAGTTGTCCCATTCTTCTTGGTGAATCTTTGTCAGATACTTTAATATCGTCAAGTTCTTGCCATCTTCCTCAACCTGCTGGAAAATGGGGTGGTTTACAAGAGGATTGTTCAGATCCTGAAGTGAAAACAGCACTGTCTCGGCATAGAACGGAGTCACAACCGAAAAACTACGCATTTCCTTAATGGAACGTAATTGGGGAATATCCATGACAAGTGACTTCATGAAAAATCCCAGACGGCGCTTTGCCTCCATAGTACGTGGCATCGCCTCCGCACGATCCAGTGAGAGCAGCAGACAGGCGCGCGTGGCGGCACCCATGGCCGTGTCGCTGCAGAACAGGTTCACAAGCCCGCGCGACGCATACATGTATCCGTTGGCACTAGAACAAAACTTCGAGTTACCGAACTTACGCTGCAAAGCAGGATCCAAGCAGAAAGACTGCACACCATTCAGAAATGCTTCCATCTTGGAAACAAAATTGCGGATCACACCCAATGGATGCACACGAGCATTTGGAATATGCTGCGACTGCGCACCAGGGTCGGGTAGGTCCAAAATCTCTTCCAAGAGATCAACAGCGGCAGTGCACAAGCTTGCTAGCTCACGAACATTAAAGGACTTGAGGAAACCGCCGCTAGAAGCAATCTCCTCGATCATTCGGAAACCATCGACCACATCAGCGTCATCGTTGCCAAACAGAGCACTAGTTACATACATACTAGCCGTGAAGAACGAACGAATAGCCGATAGACAGTCATTCTCAACAAGCGTGACGCGGAGTTGAGACTCGCCCTTTCCATCTTTAGCCGTCTTGATTGCCAAACTCATGGCTTCCGCCAGCTTACCAGCCGACAAAAAGACGGGCTCAAATACCTCACCAGTACTGCGGATGTCGTACTGAAGAATAGCAGCCTCCTTGTCATCAAGCAAATCACCCGCGCGAAAAGAATTTACAATTTCATTCCACACGACTACAAATCGCAACATCATTTGTGATTCGTAAGCAGCAGCCAGCGCGCTTGCACGGGTCGAATTATTACCACTGGTAGGTGCATCGCTAGAACGCGCAAGCAATGTCACGACCTTTTGATCAAACAACTGTGGTGCAACACGAAAAGCTTTTGTCATTTCCTTTGCACCACGAATTTCGCCAGTCTTCATTAAAACTCCCTGAAATCCACCAAGCAAAGCCTGAAGTATTGTAAAAAAAATCTGTGTCGAGTAATTAAAGATAAACACTACAGGCAGCCATAGCGCAAAGATAATTCCAATATTGTGAAACAAGACCAATGGATTTTGATAATCTAGTCGCATTGCGTATATACTCAATGTTGGTAACATGAGTGGACGGACTAAAATAAAGTATGACGTAACACCTTGAATAATCCATAAGAAAATCCAAAAGACAATATACTTGAGTTGATACAATAGCGGTGGTGCCATATCTTGTCCAACATAGCAACTTTCACCTTCACGAACAAACTTGGATGCAAATGAACCATGAATCACTTGTGGTGCAAAAGCTTGAATCAATAAGATTAAGGTACCTGGTAGAATGTATCCACCACATAATGGGTACAAATTATCCAAAAGAATGGTATCCTTATCTTGATACAATGGAACATAAATCATTGCACCAAATAAAATCGCAAATCCACCATTCCATACAATTCGACTTGTTAATGCTGCACCATAGGTAAAAGACCGTGAACTCGTTGCAATCTGTTCCCTTGATGTTAATAAATGCCATCCATGCGATACTTCCAAGACACATTTCAAAAACGCCAAAAGACTTAAACTAAATGGAATTGCAACAATCGCTAATTTTAAATCACGTGTTGTATACGGTGTTACAACCGTCCCAAGGGATTCAAATTGATGCCATCCACTTGTGCCACCAGAAGGTGAGATCGTGACAGCAAAAGCCAATACAATCAACAAGACAAAATACATGAGATTGAATTGAAAAATCCGATAGTAATTGAGAATCAGTGTAAAGAGACTGCGATGTTCATAAAAGGTCTTTCCGTGGTGTTGGGTTAACTCTTGTCCCACTCGTGTCACGGGAATGCTGAGACAATGGGGTTTCCAGAAATATTCATTAAGATCATCATAATTTCGAATTTTAACATGTTCAAGAGGTTTGCCCAATGCATTACGTCGTGTCATATTTGATGCTTCATTCCATATTGGACGAATCACGTGATTCAAATACCAGCCTTCTGATTCAAGTGTCTGACCTTGCGGATCAGCATTGACCATTTGTAACATCTGATGAAACAAATAACAGATACATTCTGGCATATGACGAATATTTGCAGCTTCTCCCCATATCAGAAAATACAACATCACGTCCATGTACAGATTGCCAAAAGATGTAGCATTTGGAATCCGGTTACCACTATACGTGACTGGCCTTGTATGGAGAAATTGACACCATGAACGGTAATTCGATAACAATTTATTACCCAATTGAAGAAGACTCTGATCCGCGGAATCACTTGATAGACAACGTGCTTTCCCATTGGCTAATAATAAAAGAACGTGTTCACGTTGATTATTCACGGAACCTTCTTGAAACCCAAATTTTGCCTTGAGATAATCACAACAGTAATCAATGGCTGCCTCATCATCCTGCGGCACACCCTTCATACTCATACTTGTGACATCCATGGAATTCAAACGTTTACTAAAACGTTCAGATCGTTCTGATTTGTTCCGACGCCGATCAGCGTCAAGCTCAAAGTAATTCGAACTAGCACGTCGACGTCGATCCATCTCGCCGTGTCCCGATGGTCCACGTTGTGTCATACTTGTATACACGGTAAGCTATTTGATAGGCTTTCTTCGCAGATTACTGGAGGCAGGAAACAAACAAAGAAAAAGGAAATGGGCGAAACCAGTTTCTTTTTCACTTAAAGCGACAGGGGAACCAACAACTAACTGACTGTAAATGTGTGTGTGTTTCACTTCCTCTCTTTAAGGGGTTTCCCGTTGTGACGACTTGGAAACAAAAAGACTGGCGTGCGAAAGTGGGGGGAGGAAATTGAAAAGGGGTAGGGCCAGATCTTCCTAAGGTTTTGAGTAGGACTTAACAGACGTAAAAATTCAGCACAAGGTACAAAACCAGGATAGTGGTGGTTTTCGACCAATTAAAAACAGCAATTACCATGCGAAATGTAGTGGTTGGTTAAAAGACCCGAACCCGCACGCACACTTAAAAAAGTCAATAGGAAAAGATCAAGAGAGACGGCCGTCGTTTACCACGACGTTGGACTGACTGTCTTGACCGGCTTCAATGTTTGAAATGATGAAATTTTCGAGTCAAAAATAGATTTTTTGTGAAAAAACTTGATAGATAGGTTGCTCGTTAGGTAAAGAAGAATTAACTACCCTCCCGTCTTTCTCTTCAGTGCAATAAAGCTCGATCGAAAGTGTCGCATACGAATGAACGACACGTTGTTGTTGTTGTTTGCTTGTCAATGCTTACCAATCTGCTGGTACATTTTTTTTTCTCATAGTGACTAGTATTGCAGACATATGATGATGTGCACGACGAACCCACGAGTCGATGGAGGGAATTTGCTGGCAAGGAATGTCTCGTAAATTTTTTTTGCAACGATTTGAAAGCTCAAATTTTGAAATGGGCTTGTCACTTGCAACTTGTATAAACTATGAGAAAGCAGTTGAAACTGACTACTTGGCTACAAGTTTTGATCAAGTCTATCCATGCGTATCCTTTGTTTCTCCGTAGGTGAATGGAGAGAGCTAATGTTGTTCTATATACTAGTTGAAGAGAACAATTCGCTCATTCGTTTATTAATGAACACAAGATATTATTATATAGATAGACAATGACGTGCTAGATGGATAGTACCGCTACTTAGGTTTGTCTAAAACGTCTCATATAGACTTCTCTCCCGTTTGCCATAAAAAAGAGTCATCGTACCGGTCAAGATCAGTTTTATTACAATTCTAAGTTGATTGATCGAACTAAAACTGATCCGAGTCTTCACTTCTTCTGCCGCCACACAAGCCATTTTACCGCCACTCAAGCTCTTCAACCGTCGTTGACGCTCTTTTACCATTGTAAAAGCTCTTCTACCGCCACACAAGCTCTTCTGCCGCCACACGAGGTCTTCTACAGCTACAGAAGGTCTTATACTGCCGCTGTAGTTCTATTACCGTCGCTGACGCTCTTCTATTGTCGTTGACGCTCTTCTATTGTCGCTGACGCTCTTCTATTGTCGCTGACGCTCTTCTATTGTCGTTGACGCTCTTCTATTGTCGCTGACGCTCTTCTATTGTCGCTGACGCTCTTCTATTGTCGTTGACGCTCTTCTATTGTCGTTGACGCTCTTCTATTGTCGTTGACGCTCTTCTATTGTCGTTGACGCTCTTCTATTGTCGTTGACGCTCTTCTATTGTCGTTGTCGCTCTTCTATCGTCGTTGTCGCTCTTCTATTGTCGTTGACGCTCTTCTATCGTCGTTGTCGCTCTTCTATTGTCGTTGTCGCTCTTCTATCGTCGTTGAAGCACTTTCGTTATCGCTCAAGCTCTTCTACCGCCACACAAGGTCTTTTACCGTCACACAAAGTCTCCTACAACCGTCTAAAATCTTCTACCACCAGTCAAGGTCTTCTACCGCCACAAAAGCTTTTTTACTGTCAGTCAAGCTCTGTACCGCCGGTGGATGATGCGTACTCGGATCTGCACGGTGTTTGTGGCTATTGGTGTCTGGCTTCTGATAGCCAATGCAGACGCTGAGCCATTCAACTTCACAACACCTTTACTCCTGGATGGGCAAACTGAAGGTTCTCATTCGAGTTACGTAAAAGCTTACGACAAGGAAAGCGAAGAGAGATCTTTTCCTAATCTTGCTGAGATTGTGCTGGCCACAAAACTAACGCCTGCAGTGAAGGATCGCTTTGATCTTTGGCTTCGTAAAGTAACAACGCCAGTACAAGCTTTGCACAAATTTGAAGCTTCAGAATGAGCACCTTTTGAGCAACCCGGAATTCGCTAAGTTTTTGGAGTACTTAATGCGCTACAACCAAAAGTTTTCCAACCATAAACCAGTACGAGTTTCGGATTTCCTAAAAGCTAGCTTTCCGGAGGAAATGTTGAAGAAAATAATGAGTCTCGATAATATTAACAAGGATACACACGCATGGCGGATGCTGGTGTCGGACCTGAATGATCGAGTTGAGCCCAAAGAATTGTTTGTGAAATTGGAGCTTCCTATGGTGACGGGCAACCTTCTTGGCAATGACTTGTTCAAGTATTGGCACATGTACATGAAACTCTATAATATCGAGAATTCCGGTCGTCAAACGACGGTCTTTCGTGTTGTGGAAGACACTTGCCCTGGTCGTATGGACAAGATAATTTTGGATGGTTTGTCTGATTTTTCTACAAAACAAACAGCCGAATTGCTGCAGAAACTGAAAGAAGGCACACCACCTAAAATAGCTCTTGAAAAAGTGTTTTCTGAGATTGCGGAACAGCTTATCAAAGGCAACCCGCTGTTGGGAGAATGGGTCAATTACGTTCATTATTTTAACCAACGGTACCCCAGCAGCAAAATGACGCGCACAGAAGTCATTGAGAAATACTACAAGGACAATGGTTTGGCAAGCGTTATTGAAGCAGCAGATTGGAAACGTGTTAATCTACAGCGGAAAGATCAAAAAAAGTTTTTGGCTACAATGACTAGCCCTGACACTGTCTTTACAACGTGGCATCTTGACAAAAAAAAGACTTTCGCTTTTTCGGAATGACATTATTCTCCACTGGATGGAGTACGTGGATGCTTACAAAATAGAGCATCCCAAGGAGGCAGAAAATTTTATCCTTAAACTTCTGCCGTATAAAGGCGACAAAGAATTGGTAGATGCGCTGTATTCCTCGAGCCACGGCCCAAACATGGGGAAAGCCTCACGTCGAGTATTTGATGAGCTGACTCGGTCATGGCTTGATACACAAAAAACTCCGCAAGAAGTTTTACCAATTCTAACTAATACTGTCGAAGGCAACCCTTTCCTAGCTCCTGCTTTTACCGAATGGATGAGATACGTGGCAGCTTTCAATACTCGTTACCCAGCGAACAGACAATTACCTTTAACGATCTTTTTGGAGACATATTATCTGCCAGATATTATGACACATCTTAAAGTGTCAAAGCACAATTTTTACATGGATAAGTTTGTGACAGAATTGGACCAAGCACTGAACACGTTTCAAACTACTGCTCAAAAAAAATCATGATAGTCGTGCCGAAATAGACCTTTACTTGAAAATGATACATGAATGGAGGCATCCACCAAAGATTTCGAACGAGTCTACTAAAAGGAAGAGGGAAACTGTACCCTGAAGATGCAAGGAGCATTTGGAATCAGGCTTGTTGACGCATCAATGGTCCAGACATCGATGTTTTAACCACGAAAAATCTTCTATGGCTTGCTGGGAAGCTCTAAGTGAGTGATTACACTCAATTTATGGTATACAAATGGCTTCAATCAATGGTAAGGAATGAGTATTCTGCATTTACAATACAAGCTGAGGTAGATGTTGTAAATCAGCTACTACTAGCATTGATAATAATGCCTTTATCCTTTGCCATGCGATAGCGTACATTGCTCTAACGTTGCACATTTCCCTGATCGACTCGTCGTTTTGCAATCCTCTCTTGTTCAATTGTATTGGCCAAACATACTTACCTGCTGTCATCAAGTCAGAGACATAGCTTCAATCTTTGATTACCGCTAATAACTTCACGTTTTCATTAAACACTGCAATTCTGCTGCTTTGAAGGAATACTAAATTGATATACGACGGCTGGAACATGTGCAAAAAGAAGGATGTAACGGAGTTACACAAAGGTGTGTATTGTACATACACACCTGCCACACCAATGTGGTGTGGCTGTACCTTTGGGTACAAGAGTAGACTCGATGTGACCGTACCTAAGGTACGAAGGGGTCGCATCGTGGCAGAGAGCCACGTGGTCATTATACTTAGTTTAATCATAGTGACTAAACATAGATAAGCATAGTGACTATACAAGTTTGCATATTGATAGGCTACAGAGCCAGTAAATAGTGACTAGCACTAAGTACAGAGTAGGTGCTTCTATATTTAGTGCTCGTAGATAAACATAAAAATAAATCAGTTTTCAAACCTGCTCTGAATAGCACAAGTGCTAGAGCGTTCTATTCCTTTTGCGTGATTGTATCTTTAATACTAAGTATCTTGGAGACGCGGTTGTTCAAAACTAAAGGCACAAGCTTACGAGCTAGCCTTGGAAGTGTTAAGAGGGTTAAGCCCTAAGACGTAGAGGCTCTCGGAGCTTGTCTTCCTTTGCACGTAGTGGATAAGTAGATTGGCTAAAGTAGCTCGGCTACATTTATAGCACTTGTAGTCAATCTCGCACCTGGATATGCGACTACTTCTCTGTGTGAGAATGGACATTGATGAGACGTCAGCGGTTAGCCTGTCACAGGCACAACAGGAAGGGCTGCAGAAGCTGCTCCCTATCCTTGGCCGTAAGGGCGTGGAGTACCTCAGTACCCAAGGTAAAGAAGAGGTTAGCAAGCTTATTCGTATGCTTGAAGAATATAATAAAGCTCTAGTCGAGCATGTAAAGCTTCTTTTGCGCCTTCAGCAATGGCGACTATGGCGCAAGGAGTTGTCCGCAGACCAAAACCCATACAAATGGAAGTCGATAAGTTTGACGGCAAAGAAGGTGATAATCTTATGCTGTGGTTTCGACAGGTGGAGTCGGCTATGTTTATAGTCGATATCACCTATGAACCGTACCGTGTTGGCTTTGCCACGGGCAAGTTGTGTTGATTAGTCAAGCAATGGGCGTTCACATGCGTTGTATCACTGCAAGATGCTTTTCCAACATGGGCCGATCTGAAAGCTCAGATGACCTGGCAGTATGCACCGCCAAACCAGGCACACCGTAATCGGTCGCGATTTTCGGCATGTCACCAAGGAAAGCGTGAGCTTGCGGCATATGTGCAAGCGTTGAGAACTCTTTTTGATGCCATGGTCATAGACACTATGTTTGATGCAGTGGCCGTCACGGTCTTTATGGAAGGCTTCCGAGTTGGCGTTGCCAGAACGGAAGTCTTCCGGGTAAACCCGCCCTTATTCGAGGAAGCTGTTGGAGTGGCATGGAATTCTAAGACCAACTTTGAGTCCGCTAGGCCTGCCACTTATAACTACTCGTCTGATAGGTCTGTACCCATGGGACTGTAGTCAAGTGCAGGATGAAGAAGCTGAGCTTCATGCTGCGGAGCAGCAAAGTGTGCGCAGATGTTATATCTGCAATAACACTGGTCATTTGATTGTAAAATGCCCTGCACGAAAGGCATCTTTGGTCTCATAGTGCCGACGCCCCATGGGTAAGCCCTCTGGTTTGCCGCGGGGAAACGACGGAATCCAGTAGGTGCGGGTCGCCCTACTCGGGAAGAACTGAGTTCTGTTGAGCCTCTAGAAGGTAGAAATAAACAGGTTCCAGCCCCAAAGAGGCCCGAGCTCTCAAAAATGGAACGAGAATTCAAGCCAGGCTTCCTCGCCGTCGAAGGGACAGTTAAGGGCTTTGATAAGCCATGGATCATTTTGATCGATTCGGAGGCATTAGGCAATTACGTCCACCGTGCCACCGTGGAAGGTAGTCAGTAGTATGCTGAAGCGCTTAGAGCGCATGAGAGTGACACAGTCACAGTTCGCTTAGCGACGGGTACGCGTGTTACGGTACTCAAAGTCCCGATGGACTTAAATGTAAATCGCATGGAACGCTGTTTGGTCTTAGACCTGGATTCGAGGTATGACCTCATCCTAGTCATGGCATGGATAGAACGTCATGAGCCATGGATTGATTGGAGGTCGAAGACCTTAGGAGCAACAAGCAATGCTTTTGGTGGGGATCTAAAGAGTCATCAATCCACCTCTGCTAGGAAGCAAAAAAAGGCGTGGATATTGGACCGAATCGGTCAATATGTTGGATGTCGGGTTATCAGACTTTGTAGACACTGTAAGTGTCGAGGACAATAGTCCTGGGCGATGCCCAAGGACTGTCGATAGGGTGGTTGAAAACCAACTAGATGGCACATATAACATGTGTCATGAAAATGATGTTACATCATTAAACACCGTGAGTGGTGCTGGTGGCTGCAAGCCAAGATATCAAAAGACGAGTCCAAGTGACATGAGTGACGAGGAACTGACCCCGGAGGGTCAGGTGAAGTCACAAATGGATGTTGTTTTTGACGACAACGAGGTGTATGCACCTAACGACGAGGTACTGACCCAAGAGGGTTGGGTGAAGTCAAAAATGACGGTTTTATTTGAGGACAACGAGGTGTGAGCACCTCATGACGAGGCATTGACCCAAGAGGGTGGGGTGCAGTCAGTAAACGAAGTGATGTTTGGCCTTGCGGTGTGTACACCTGTGGACGCTGATGCGTCGGATGCTGAGAGCATCATGAGTAGAAATGATGATATCGTGAGTGACGGTGATATCGAACAGCTATATATACTCGTCAATGGTTTGACTGGGGATGTTAAAGAGCCGGTGGATCTTTCAGCTATACCCGCAGTAAGTGCTCTGTTAGAGCTGAACGTTGTCCTTTGCCGAGTTTGGCAGTGCCTTACAGGCAGGCGACATCGCCGATGTGGTCGTTATACGACCTGAGAAGGAGTTGAACCCCTCATAGCTTTTGAGGCAGTTCTTGAGGATACCAAGAAGGTGTTGAATGCGCGCAGATGATCACAGATCCCAAAGGACTCATCGGATCTTTACTTTCCTTTGTTGAAGGGATATGGAGATGTGTCTCCAAAGAATCTTCTACGAGGTTACCTCCGGATAGAGGTATACGTCATGAGATTGACTTGCTTCCAGGAACCAAATACTGTGTGACGCGACAGTAGCCGCTGCCACGAGAACAATGTGACGTCATTGACGAGTACGTTCTTGCAAAGCACGCATCTTGCCTGGTGCGTGAGAGTAAGTCTCCTCACTCTACGCCCAAGTTTTTTGTGAGAAAGCCTAGTGGGAAGTGGCGAATAGTGCATGCTTACAATAAGCTGAATGCAGCCACTATCCCGGCTCAAACACCGATTCCTTGCAAGAAAGTTCTTCAGAACAATTTGGTGGGATGTGCGATGTACAGTGCCCTCGACTTAGTCGATGAATATTACCAACTGCTCATGCGAGCTAGTGATATCCCACTGACAGCGGTCAGTACTCCGAGCGGTATGCTCTGGGAGTGGTTAGTGATGCATCAGGGGCTGTCTAACGCACCTGCAACGTTTAATTGACTAGTTGCGCAGTTGTTTCGGCCCCATAGGGCGTACGCACAGACATACTTTGACGATATATTCGTCCATAGTCGAGCCGAAAATGGAAAGCCTGATGTGGAGAACCACATTGAGCACCTGCGAGCTGTGCTCGGTTGCATGAGTATGCGCAAGTTAACACCTGTCGGGCCCAAAGCCGTTTGTGATCTATACCGATCATCCGTCGTTACGCACAGCGACACAGTCGCCTCATCTCGCGCAGAGAATGGCTCGTTGGCTCTCCTTTTTCGCGGAGCATAACTTCGAGGTGAAGTATAAGCCGGGACAACATAATGTTTTGGCTGACGCGTTATCGCGCAGACCTGACTATGAGCTTGCTCATCTTACTGTTGTGAGTTCGTCAGTCACGGATAGTATCCGTGTGGCGTATGCACGCGATGAGGCATGTGTTGCCATTCTGCAGGCGCTGGGT